TACAGGTATAAATTAAATCCCCCTCTACATCCTACCTTCTCAACTTCTTATCTATGACCTATAATAGTGGACAGTGGCAAAGTATGTCCATCTTTTTGTAAATAGGTATGAAAATATTCATCAATTTAAAATCTATATTTTAAATCTATTATTGATAACTCTTCATTTATTATTACGACCCATTGAAATATTATACATAATATACAATATAATAGTCTAATAATCTAAATTATGTCTATGTATCGGCCATACTAGTACTAGACCCACACATTTATCAGTTAAGTACTGTAAACATCTTTTTGATCTAGTCATAAACATTAATAGATAATATGTCATAGATTATTTAGTTACGACAAATATACTTTTCGGTACCAGCTGCTGATAGATTTTGATAGTCAGCACTCGTTAGCCGCCATCAATATTGTTATTATGAACTTATTTATGATCTAGGTGTTCATAATTTATAATAGTGTAATTTATTTTTTATCTATTGCTTTTATAATATAAAAAAACAACATAAATATAAAGAAATCTTCACCATAAAACCAATTGAAGAATATTTATTTATTCAAATTTCTGAACATACTGTACATCTTAAGGGGACTATCATTTATGTTTACAGTTGAGCGTCCGGGGCTCTTTTATTACCTATTACAGAGAAAACTAAGAAGACGCATTTAAATTTGGCTAGAGGTAAGAGGATTAAGGATCCCTCCATTCTAAATACTACTACTAAACCTATTCTGCACATCCCGCAAAAAAGTAATCTTACACACGTCTATGATCTAATACAGCGGTCGCTAATCGGTGGTCCGTGAAACAATTTTAATAAACCGCAAGAAAATTTTGGTGGACACAGAAAAATTTGAAAACTTAATAAATCTATATTTATGTATAAATGAATATCTGTCTGTCCGTATGTCTTTTATAGGCTCAAAAACTACTGGCTCGATTTGAACAGGGTTTTTTTTAAATGTTCCGCATGGTTCGAAGAGGGTTTATAGCTATTGAAATTTCTAAAATTCAACCCCTAAAGGATAACTGACACAGGGATTTTGGTAATTTATGGTATAATTTTTGTTGATTTGTTGAATGTTGATTACAAAGTAAATATTTATTTTTTTTTGATTAAGTGGTATATCTATGGCCAAAGCATATCTATGGTATCTACCGAATATTATTTGTGAATCTTCATTGTAATTTTGAATTTTAATTGGTATTTTGCCAAATACAACCCACTCAGTGATTGCTATATCTCAAAAACTGCTCAACGTACGAACTTGAAATTTGGAATAGCGATTCTTCTAATACTCTAAATGTACAATAAGAAAGGATTTTAAGAAAATATTGCCTTCAAGTGGATTAATTTATAACAATATTTCATCGTCAATATATATTAACAATCGAGTTATTCATTTTTAAAATAATCGTCGAATACGCATTTAAAAATAGTATATAAAGGTATTGTTTATTTATTTTTATGGATTACCATATTAACGTAAATGAAATAAAAACAAATTTAAAGGTTGGTAACATGGATGAAAAAAAATCGAGTGAAATATAAAATAATATTAAAAATATTTTACTGTTTAACTTGTTTTTAACTGTTTATAGACAATGCCGGGTAACACAGCTAGATGTGTCACAAACAAAAAAATCCTTTATTGTTATTTTATACATGTAATTTTTTTTAATTAATGGAACATTATTTATGAAAAAAAAACTGTAGGTTCAAAACATTTGAATAAGGACCTGATACTTGTAGTATAAACTTTATAGTGTTCCGTAAATTTTGCATACTTGCAGTTATGGATTTAGTGGTCCATGAGGTCAAAAAGGTTGGTGACCGCTGATCTAATACTATATTTTAAACAAATTCTATAATAAGATCTACCATTTATAATGTACTACAGGTATATTTTATTGGAACATAAAGACATTTTCGATAATGTAGTGCCTCACTAGCCTCATTTGGCGAGCCGCCGCTGCCTAGTTTTATGTAAAGAGTGTCCTACAGTGTTCTGATGCTAATAAATCTATCAATATTCATTTTTATTTTCAATTGGGTTTTGTGCGAGGGACACACATTATATATATATATTTACACATGTAGAAAAAAATTAAATTTTTATTTTCATCACTGAGAAAATACATTTTTATTTTTCAGCATGTTCATACCCACACCAACGAATTTACAGAAAATTACAAATTTAGCATAAAATATGTATAATATATAATAATGTTAACGTATACTATTGGTGTATGTATACAAACGCAATATAGATGCATTATATCATAATAAACTTTTGATAAAAACTGAGATAATGATTTCTCTGAGGGAAAAAACTATACCATGTATACTTTCACCATGAAAAACTTAAAAATTAATAATCAGGAAAAAATATCGAATGCTAATGACTAATGAGTACCATATCCATTGATTGAGGTGACACTAGGAGGATTAACAGATATATTATGCTTTAATTATATTGTTTATTAGAAAAATAAAGGTCATCAAATAGTTCTTTATTTAAATTGTTCAATTTAAAAAACGAACCGTAAAGTAAAAATAAAACATTGTTGATAATAATTATTTATTAAATAGTTATACTAGGTACTTTACTACAAAAAAATATCTATTTTAAAATTTAAATTTTACAAAATATGGAAGAGAAAGTTTATACTGATTTTAATTTAATGACGAGTAAAACAAAACAACCATATAAAAATACGTATCCATAGGTATACTTCGTATTTTCTGAAATAGAGAAAATCTAGCAAGTGAAAAAAAAAAATGTTGTATAATTAATTTGAATAATACCTAGTAAAATATTTAAATCGTAAATCTTTAAAATTTAAGTATCGTCATAAAAAAAAATTTAATATTGCATACCTATATTACCGTTAGTTTTTAAATAAAAATTGTTACCGTAGTTTTCATTACAATTAGTGGCGCCCTACTTCGAGTGTAGCAGTTGCTACACATCATGTTTTTGGTGAGTGAGTGTTTCATGGTAATTGGGATTTGGGATAGTCGGGTAGAATGGGTATAAACATTCAAGAATTATACTTTGTAGGGTTGGGAAGTATATATTTATATGAGTGAAAGTTTTTGAGGTGGGTAGCCGTTTAGAATTTCAAATTCTGTTATCCATACAAATATAATTTGAGCGCCACTGAGTACAAATCGTGGTAATACCAGGTAGGCAAATACCTATAGATTATTCATTCAAATATTAAGTTATACACAATATACATTTTTGTTTTTATTGAATTATAATACTCTACTATTTCTTTACTATACATATTATATCTACTGTACTTACTAATTTAAATACATTATTTATGGACCGTTTAATAACGATAAAAAAACATGAAACCTTAAAATAATTTACGGAGTTATTATAGGATTATAATATTATAAAAATACGCAATTTATGTAGAATAGTGAGTAGCCCGAGTGGCAAGATGTCATATTATAACGATTGTCTTTAAATTTGTCGGGAGGAAATCGTGCGGTTTATTTAAAAAAATAACGACCCGAATTTTAATATCCGACTTCCCAATAGCATTCGTTTACACAACCAGAATGGCGTTGTGAGCTTAACTATTTCAAACACTAAGCAATAGGTCTAAAACAAATTACCACCCCTATTTTTCCATTTAAAATATTACTACGGGTACGCAAATGTATTAAGGAAACGTCATTCACTATTCACCGCACCTCTATGGCTATGTATTACAGTACCGTAGCCAAAAAAAAAATTTCCGACGAGGGGGAGCACTTAAATCTAGTATTTTTAAGCTATAGATTACTTATCACTTGCAACTTTTGTAACTCCCTTATTCCCACCACTTATATTATTTATACCCCTTAGTTTTACAACGTAAAGTTAAAACAAAATGTGTAGTATTTTAAGAGAATAAATATATTATAATAACTATAAATGTAATAATGTAAAATGTGCTACAGCATTACGAAAAAAAAATTCTGAAATGGGCACGTACTCCCTGCCCCTCCTCCCATAGCTATGGCACTAATATATTATATAAATTATTATACACGTCACTTGTCTCTACGATATTATATACACTATAGCGGCGACAGACGGACGCGTCACATCGTAGTATAACTAACCTTACTTAACCACGGCCCGCAGCACTGTAGTAATAATACTAATAATAAAATGCATAATAATATTATATTAGAATATTATGTATTATAACTTCTGCACACGCGAGCAGAGTATGTTATTATATACCTAAGTTACATTACACTGTACGTGTATATAATAATAATAATAATGTACAAAATGTATAGGTAGGTATTGTAGTAGAACCATCATACAAAATGTTTAATAATAATAATAATATATATTCGACGGTGGCGGCGTTGTGACGTACGTGGTCAGTATGCAAAATTATTACACGAACCGAATGAAGATAATGGGGAAAAAAAATAGAAGAAATAAAGAATAGACTTTTTAATCAATGGATAGCCACGCGATGGCATTATAGTGATGGTCAATGTTGTTCGGTCGAGTTCAAGGTAGGGCGTACTTTGCGTCCGTGTCCGTATACACACCACAGATAACCCGCGCACACACAATATGCATACATGCATACGTACATACGCTTGTACTGTGGGTCCGCACGGACGAAGCTGCTCGTCGGACCCGGACCACAGTGCATATCCCTATAATATTATCCCTACACGACACACATAGTATAATGTATAACGCGTATATTTGTGTGACGGGTTGATAGTACGAAGAGTAGTGTTTGTATTCCATTTGTGGCAGAAATACCTACCGTGTTGTTGTAGTAATATTATAAATAGTGGTAGTGTAGTAGTAGTAGTAAAATTGTAGTAATATAGGTGTAGTAGTAGAAGTGATGGTAGTGGTGATACTGGTCGGCCGGTTGTGGTAGCAGTGGTGGTGGTAGTGAACCGAAGTCGTGTCGACGAGGGTCTTCATACGCACATCCGCGCCGCACCACCGACTCGACCCGCTGCAGTAGTTAGTGCTGCACACGATTGTCCGCCGGTAGTACGTTGCTTGCCAGTAGCCAGTCCCGTTGTACCGTTGCGGAATCCAGAGAACCTAGGTGTCGGCCACGGTGGGGTATCACCTCATTATTCAATAATAAGTAAATAATCGCTGTCGTTTGGGCATCAGTTGAGCAGTTCCGTCGTTGCACTTTCCGTGTGCAGTTGTACGTTTACGCGTATCGCATTCGTCCGGCGTTCATCTCCCGTCTGAAAATACTAATTTACCGTTGTTTACACGAAACTTTAAACGCGCACCTATTCTATATACGCGGCGATAACCGGTACGTATAATAATAATATAATTATATTATTAAATATTAAATGACGAACGCGACATTCATTCGCTTTGCGCGCTCGCACTACAATAATAGTAATATTTTATTTCACCGTTTTCGTTATACGAGTATTTAAATATGGGAGCATTATTTTATTTAATTATTATTATTATAATAATATTTTTCATATTATGACAATATAGCAGACGGAGCACTTTCGTCGCCGCACTTCCGGCCGAAAATCGATTACGGTAACGAAAATACCCGCGCACGAGGACAATATATCATATTATTTAATTTTAGAATTCGAATTACTCTTGTGACCGGTCCTTCTACGCGCGCGTATATGCATACGTACTGTGTATTATACATTAGCTACCCTCCGAATTTCTATACGGAAAGGGCTCGTTTGCACCGCGGTCCGATCCGCTCCCTGGACGCCGACAGGGGGCGACTTGTCAGCTGTCTCCTCCCCCCTCCGACCAACCCCGAAAGTTGCCGGGCCGCCGATGCTTAATTCATATTGCTCGGTGCTCCATTCGTGTGTATACCGTACACGGGTTTTTTACGGGTCCGGGATGCCCCGCGTCATGCCCTTGTAGCACCTTGCGTCACATTATTTTTCTCTGCCGTTTACGATGGTGACACTCGAATAAAATGTCAAATGTTCCTCGCCCTGCAATGTGTGTGATATTATAATAATATAATATAGATATTATTATAGTATGGACATTAATAACTCCGTGGTTTATGATTTTGTTTTATCACCATGAACTTTGTTCGTTCGACCTTTTTTTTTATGTTTATATAATTGTTATTATATTTTGACATTTTGTACTAAACCGGCATTTTCAATGTATTACCCTAGCATAACCAAACGTATTATTATATTATATTTATAAACGTGAAGGACCATTCATCCCCCCCTCCCGGAATGCGCCTATAATTACAATAGGTAATTTATTTACAACTTTTATAGAATTAACTATTTGTGAATTATTACTATCGAAATGAGATTTAATACACCGCAAAATAACCTTTGACATTTTGAACATACCTATCTATATTTTGTTCTATTTTTGTATATTACGTGTTCCACGTACACTGTTTACTAAGCTTCCGGTTTTTCTACAAGTATGTATAACAAGCAAATGATTTGGACTTGGAGTGAAAATTTTTTTTGGGGTTGACAAATTTACCACTTCTAAAAGAAATGAATTAACTTTATTTTCAATACGAACTTCACCAACAGTGCTTTCGGAGTTTTTTTCGATATCTTTTATCGATGAATTTTTACAGAGACTTTATTTGAAACGTACTTAATCATTTTTCATGTTAGAAAAAATCTTCAAAAGTTCATAAAAAATATTGTATCTACTTAGACATATATACGGTTAGTTTAGGTAAGATTTAACCGATAAGTATAACTTTAAATTATAAATTACCAATAAATTGTTAGATTAGCCATAAATTTGAATCATTTTAAAAAATGTCCAAATTAAATTTGATTTTTTTAAAAAAAAAATTGTTTAGTGATAAATGACAATTTAAAAAAAAAAACAAAACGAACAATGGGCACGATGGGTGGGCCATTGTCTGTTGTAGGGGAGAAGTTAAAAAGTTTGAGGGGAAATTTAATGTTTATCTGTACGAAACGATTGATCATTGTTAACAAAAAGCGACTCTGATCAGAGTTCGGTTATACATATACATGTATTTAAATTCCATAATATTTATGATTTGAAAGTAATTTATTTCTTATATTTTTCCTAATAATTATGAAAACAACATAGAAAATCAAAAAATGACCTCCCTAAAGTAAGTACTACCTCACAAAAAATGTCTGGTTGAATAGAAAAATAAAATAAATAAACATCATTGTAAACCAATACATTCATTGCTCTGCTCAGAATCTAAAGTTTGTGTAGTTATGTTCAAATGTTCCACACTGTATGTCTATAATTTGTATATATTTTAAAATAATAATATCGTCTATAGTAACCTACCTAATATCATTTCTTTATTATTATTTTTTATTTTTGAGACGGATGGGGCTTAAAAATAATAATACTAATGAAGGGATGTCAAATTTATTTCTATTTGTAAGCAGCAAATTACTTAATCTGCCACTACTGTATTATACCTACCTATAGGTTATAAGTAGATGTTAGATGCTTATATTAGATATTGTATGGTAAGAAATAATTTTCTAAAGGATTTAAAACATTCAATTTTATTTATAATATATAGGTATAATGTGGGTAAGTATACATTTAATAATACATATATATTGCATACCTATATGTGTATTATTTTAAGACATCCATTTTGCCGAGTATTGAGAGCAAAAATAAATTGTTTTTAAGAGTTATCACTTTAGATTTTATAAGTAAAACTAAACTTGATTCTTTGAGAGTATCTAGGTAAACATATTAATAACACAATTAAAACATCAATAGATAATATAAAAAAAGGTTTCTTTAATAGACTTTATGGTGATAGCCCCCTTGAATCAATGTATTAGGATTCATATTTTTGTTTAATTTAACATATTTGCATGTTATGTAGATAAATATTTATTTTATTTATTTATTGTTTAAAAGATAAAGAATTTACATTATAAAATATATAATTATTTTAAATTTCTATCTGTTTATATTATTAGTTCAATAAAGATTTATATTTTATAATGGTTATCTGTGGGCTGTTGGTACACTATAATGATGTGCTTGTTATACATACAAATAAAAAAAAGAATAACACTACATAGATACCTCATATATTGAATGAATTATATAGGCTGCATGAAGGCTTCATTAGGTGACAGAAAGTAATGGAAATGATGTGCTTATTAAAAGTGATACGGTTTGATAGTATTGTTTAGTACAAGGTTAAAAAAAATTATTTATTTGATTTTTAGTTACATGTAAATACTGAAAATGAAAAAAAATTTGGACACAATTATTTATTTTATAAAATATGCATATAGGTATCTAAGTGGTTATATAATAAACTTTTAAATTTTGAGATTTTGAATTATACTAGTTATGTAATACAATTTTTTTTATTTTTATTAACTGTAGAATTATGGCTGCAAACACGCTGAAAAATAAATGAGACATATTAAAAACATTACAAAAATTGTACAATGTTATTAGTAATATAATATATAATACAAACAACATACATTTTTTCTTAATAATTTAATTAAATAACATGTGTTTATATACATAAATTCTGACCTCCAACTAGATAAATGTTTTTAAATGATGTTACATTTTAATACCTTCAGAATTACCTAAAAATTACTAATAAACTATACAACCTAAGTTAAGGTAAGCATAATATGAGTGTTGAGTGTTGTGTGGTATATACCACACAATAACTGATAGGTACTTATTTTTTTTTACAACAAAAATATATTCATACATTTTAAATATGGGGTATTAATAATAATAGATATTATGGTTTACAAATATATTTATATGTCAAAATGTAAAAAAAAAAGTATTTACTTATACTATTTAAATTGGATAGTAATTTTTAATCATTTGTATGCAATAATCAAGTGTCACAATTTATATATTTGGCCTAGGTATGAGGTTTATAAATTTATATATTTTTAAAATTTGAAGTACCTCTTTAAGATACTTGTAAGATTTTTATTTATATTTGTGTGATACATTAAAATTTTAATGGATTATTTCATTATACAAACCATTAAATAATAATAATTTTATTTTAGAGTTGTTTTTAATCATGAATGGGTTCAATAATCATGAAATTAATGATGGAGGTCATAAACAATCAGTTTTACCATGTAGTTGCTGGACAATTGGTTTGGTCAATGTTGAATCTAAACGTTATTTAACAGCTGAAACATTTGGTTTCAAGATTAATGCTAATGGTGCATCATTAAAAAAAAAACAATTATGGACTTTGGAACCCAGCACTAATAGTTCATTGTCAACTGATGGCCATACTACAACTATTCGATTGCGTTCTCATTTGGATAAATACTTAGCTGTTGATACGTTTGGAAATGTGACATGTGATGGTGATGATCCTACTGATCCCGGAACTGTATTCCAAGTTTCTGTAACTGATGGAAACTCTGGGAGCTGGGCTTTGAAAAATGTTGTACGCGGTTATTACTTAGGCGCATCTTCAGATAATTTGAAGTGTACTGCAAAAGCAGCAGGATCTAGTGAACTATGGTTAGTTCATTTAGCTGCTAGGCCTCAAGTAAGTTGATAACTATTATTTAAAGTATATCCTTAAAGTTTTATATTATTTTAATGTTATAAAAATTGGTTGATAATGTGATTTAAGGTGAATTTGAGATCAGTTGGTCGAAAACGCTTTGCTCATTTATCGGAAAATTTGGATGAAATTCATGTTGATGCAAATATACCTTGGGGTGAAGATACACTTTTTACTCTAGAACTACGACCTGATGATGACTTCAAATATGCCATACATACATGCAATAATAAATACTTATCCAGAGATGGAAAATTAGTCGACACATGTACATCCAATTGTTTATTCTCACTTGAGTATCATTCGGCTGGCTCTTTAGCTCTGAGAGACAAAGCTGGTGGTTATTTATCACCAATTGGTTCTAAAGCACTTCTTAAAACACGATCACAGACAGTCACCAAAGATGAGTTGTTCACCCTTGAAGATTCTTTACCACAAGCTAGTTTTATTGCGGCTCTTAATTCAAAATATGTATCAGTTAAACAAGGTTAGTACTTTCTTATTATAATTATAAATATGTATCTATTATTTAGAAAAAATTTAATTAACATTTTTATAATCAAATAATGCTAACAATTTACAATTTGCAAAAAATAAATATTATATGACATTTTAAATTAATAAGAGTTACATAATACATTTTATATTAAAATTATAGATAGTAATATGTTAAATGATATTCTAAACATTCAAACTGATGTACAAATAAATTATTTCTTTGGCAAAAATATTGAACAACCATAGAAAAATAATTTGTTTATGTCTCATTAAACAATGTTTCTTACTCTATCTAAAATACACATTTAGTTACAATGTGTATATTATTTTATATTTTTTTATTTCTTTCACATTCTTTTTATTACTTTTTGTTGATGACTTTTTACTAAAACTTATCATAGTAAAACTGTATTAAATAATAAAATATTCTCATAGCTATGTAATAATTATTTTAAAACATTAAATATTTTTTTTTACATTGAATATTAGACATTTAACTATAATTTTAACTGTATACAATGTACAGTTTTTTGTTAAGTACCTTTGAACTGAGTAATATCTATATACATTTTAATCATATTGTCCTTAAGATTTGTAATGAAAAGTTTAAAGCTTAGTGCACACTAGTTAACCAAGAAAACAATTTACAAGGTAAACTTCCTTATTTAATTTCAATATTCAATGTGTACTAAGTGTAGACAAGAATATTAATGTGTTTCTAAAAGTTTAAGTTAGATATATTTAGTATTTACCTAACTATAAATAATTATAAAAACTGTCTTATTTTATCTTAGCTTTGAAAATCATTCATATTCATAAAATGCAGTTAATAGTAATATAGTTATACTCCATAATTAACATTATGTATTATCCTATTATACGAGTAATTAATTAGTAATTAGTAATTCTAACATCTTTTTGTTTTAATATATTATTATTCTGAGAGAATCATTTCAGTCTACTTAGATAATGATCAACAAAATGGTATAAATAATTTTGACATTATTTAACTAATTTTAAAGTACCTAATTATTATAATGTGTTTTTTTTTGCAAAACTTCTTACTCAATATAAATATGAGAATATTTAGTGAACAATACACTAACTCACAACATTAAAAACTAGTTTATTTTTCTGTGTAACAGTTCCTTTGAGTACCTACAGTCAAATGACCCAGAGATTTTTATACAATATTTAATATTTATTCAATATAATACTACATTTGATCAATTTGATAATGTTATGATAGAATAATATTAGTAATGTAATAGAATTTAGAGGTATACTATTATATAAATTATGTTTCATAATTAAATAATTTAACTTCAAATAATAAGATTACTATTAACATTTATTTATCTATTTATTAAAATTTAAACATGTTTATAATAAATATATTGAGCTTATATTTATTTCTATCAGGTTTATATAGGTAGCTACATACTTTACAATTAATTATACAATTTGTTATACCCTATAAAAAAAAACCTTCAATGTGTATACATTTGAAAATTATCTAGAACAAATTTAATATGCTTATTGTATATTATACTATTATAGTTCATAATATGAATCAACTATTATAATATTCGTGTATTTGTATGTAGGTATCCTATAATTTCTATTTTAACTGCCTTAATATAATACCAACTTAACTATTATTACTTATTTCATAATTTCTTTAAACAGCATTGTTACAACTGTTTTATTAATAATAATATTGTGGTATCTCGAAGTAAGTATTTACATTGGTAATGTAGTATTAAGTATTTAGGTACATGGATAGAATAATAATGCATTAATGCAGTGAATCAATAATGCTTCATAGATATATGTAAATTATAAATATATATATATATATTTTTTTATAAAATCATCAAACAAATAAATGTCTGTTCAACTAAATATCTAATTCATTTAAGTCTCACATAAATATGTAAAATTAATAGATAAAAGCCTGAAACCATATTATATACGTACTTAGGTATATAATAGGTTCTCTTAAGTTGTGGTCCTTACTAATATGTATACCTATTATATTATATCATTATATTCTTTATAACTTTTCTCTTGCATTTTTTGTTCATTAATGTCGACTACTCGTCTTGTTAAACATAATAGCTTGAGGATTAAAGCAATTATAATACAGGTGAATAAACCTCGTTTTTATTCTTTATAATTGTTGTTTTAATTTGACATGGTCTGAAAGACACGCATTTTCGTAGCTCTCCAAAATACATTTTTTTTGTGTCTTCAATTTCCTATTTACCGTGCATATCTTCGTATATTTTATTCACCTAGATATATAATATATTTAACAAATTATTGTTTAGTGCCAATGATAATTTTTGTTTGTACTTACATAAATACATTTGATGTTTTTTTAAAAAAAACCTATGTATATTATAGTAAAAGTAAATAATAATGTATAATGTTTTTAAAACATATATATATTGTTCCTGTTCAAAAGGATTGTATTTTGTTAAATTTTATATTGTGTGTCATTATAATGAATAATATGATAATTCAACAATTTCATTAGTCATCACTCATCATCCACAAATTCGTCATAAATAATAATTATTAAGAATATAACTGATATATTTAATAAATAATATGATATTTATCAAATTAAACTCTTATATTTTAATATTTTTATTGAAATTATTTATATTTTGTAATATTCTTCTGAACACAAATCATAATAACTATTCCTATTATATCAATTAATATTTTTTTGTGTTTATGCAGTGTTTAAACAATATTTAATTCTAAGATATTTTCATTTTTCAATCTTTAGTGCTATAAAAGCATATTTTATTTTATTTGCATTTTTAAATTTAAAAAAAATGTATGTATACCTACATAGAGTTGTTAGAACTGTTAAAAACTGCATAGATTATCCAAGGAATTTTTTTTACTTTTGTGAAGAACCCTAATGGCTTAATAAGTACAAACATCTATTAATAGTCTTAATCAATTCTTGGATTTATACTTTTTTTACATCTTAATATAAACAATATATGCAGTGTATATACAATTCTGCTGTACATAGTATTTATGTTGTTTTATAATTATAGAATAAAGTGAGAACATTGTTATGCTCGCTACTATCAGATTCAATGGTTGTATCTTATATTATTATACTTTAAAGTAAATACCCATCATCCATTATTAAAAAAAAAAAAAAAAAAACAATTTCATACTCGTATTAGGCATCTATATTATGTAAGATTTCAATAATGCAATTAATTTGATATTTGTGTATACCTGTATCACAGTGTTAAATCTTATATAAACTTATACAAAGGAGAGAGACTCTTAATATAATCAATATTTAGTCAATTGTATTTTAATAATTGGATTTAGGTAACCTAATCTGTATATATTCCTATCTAGCTACCTTTTATAAAATAATTAATTCTTATTGAGATTGGTTGATATTTGTAATAGTATTCTTCTTTAAATATAGTCATGCAGGTGATTCTTTATTATAAAAATACATTTGAACTTAATTTTTTCAAACTACAATCAACTTTTATTTCTATACTTAATATTATATTAATTATTTAAAATTTACTTGATTGCAAATTATTGTGTTTAGGTTTAAGTACTTCTATGTATATGTATAGTTAGTTTAATAAATTAATAAAACAGTGATTATAAACAAAAATTACATTAATAATATTATTATAAGTACGTAATAAAATACTTACCACCAATTTTATACCTTTTTTTTTATTAATTAGGTAAATAATAACTAATAATGTATGCATTTGTTAACTAATACGTTTAAGTACCATAAAGTATAGCCATTAATCAAAATGTTTGATTTCTAAATAGAAACTTTAATAATGTATTTGTGCTATTTTTCTACTTATCTTCTTCCTTAACTATCAACACAACTTCTTTCTGTCTCTATATCAAATATATGTAACATATTATTTTCAATCAATATTTCCTATTTTCTCCAGTTTTTTTTATTTTTATACAACAAACACTTCTTAGGTCTCCCCCTTGATCTTTTTACCTATTGGTTTCTATTATATAGCTGCCCTAATGCCAAATGTGATTATCCTTCTTTCAATATTGGTGCTATGTAAGTAATAGTAATTTCATAAATAAACAACATAAATATGTTAAAAATTGAAAATATATATTAAACATTTATTTATATTACAATATAAATTAATAGTTAGTACTTGCATTGATAAATTGTTTCAAAGATTAATCTTTAAAGCATATAAATGTTAATAATATTAAAAAATATTTATTGGAGCTTTTAGTTAAATCGCTTGTTATTTTAGTTTGATTTAAATGGTGCATAATCTTGATTAAAATTTTGATATATTTAATTTATATGTTTTATTAAAGTGAAGCAATCACGGAATTCTGTGTTTTGTTGTTATGCATAATTAATAATGTTCGAAAATCTTTCAATTAAGTACCTATCAAATGTTGAATTTCTTTTACTGGAATACTTATTTTTATGTTTTTTTTTTTTTACATTAGCCGTCTAGTAATTTAAGGAAAAAATGATCGGTTTGATTGATTAAAAGATTAGGCACTAGCACTTATTATTTAAATCAGTTCCCATCACCAGACTTTTAGTTCAAATCTTAATAGAACAGGTGGTGTACATCAGTTTTCTTCTCCTTCACCTTCATCCCAACTATTGAAGTATGGTCGCCCTTTATCCTAAACTTCCACTTGACACTTGCTATCCTCATATCATTCTCAATTGCATCCAACCACCTTTCTTATGGTCTTCCTCTCCTCTTTTCTCTGACGTCTATTTTCATTACAATTATTACTGCTTCTGATTCAACTCTCTTTATAACATGCATGCTCTAACCATCTCGGTTTATTTCCTTTCTTATTCTCCATTATTGAAGCCATACCTAAGTTACTTCTTAGGTACTCATTCCTTATCATATCTTCTTTTGTCTCTCCATTCATCTTCCTAAGTATTCTCATTTTTGCTACACTCATTCTCTGTTCTATTTTTCTGATTACTGCCCAACACTCCGACCCATACATAATAACTTTTAGTCTCTTTAAGGGATTAGACACTTTTCTCCACTTAATTAATCTTATGTTTTACATCCTTTAAAGCCACCGTTCTTTTGAACAAAAAATTCTAGGTACTTAAATCCCTCAACTTCACCGTTTATTGTTATTAGGTTTCTGGTCCTATAAATCTCTTGTCCTGTTTCTCCAAACTCATATTCTCTATATTCTGTTTTACTTCTACTTATTCTTAATTCTTTTCTTTTAAGTGCTGTCTTCCATTTCTCAAGTTTATTGTTCAACTTCTTCCTGGTTTTCAAAACTTTATCATCTGCAAACCTCACGTATCTCACCTTGTATTTTCTTTGTAACTTCATCCATTACAACAAAAAACAGGTAAGGGTTTAAAGCTGAACCTTATGCACATATATTGCATATGCATACAGTTTCACTTTATACACTTATCTTTGAACCTTTATACAACTATATTTATCCTCTATCAAGCTAATATACTATTTGGGAATTCCTTTTTTTCATTAACATCAGAACCACCTCTCAAAAACTTTGTCATAAGCTTTCTCTAAATCTATAAGTCATATATATATATATACATTTTTTACCATCTCTTTGTACTTTTTTACAAACTATCCAGCATAAAACACCAATTCCATCATCAATTTTCCTGACATTAAAGTCATTAAACCAAACGGGTTCTTAGATTTTGCTGTCTTACTTCTAATTCTCTTATCTATAATATTTTCCCAAATCTTCAGATATAACCATTCATATATGACTCATAAATTTTATTCCTCTATAATTTCCGCACTCTTAAATATCTCCTTTCACTTAAAATATAGGTATTACAAAACTATTTCTCCACTCATCTGGCATTTTCCCATACACTCTTCTTCTTCTCATTCCTCTTCATCCTAACTATTTGGGATACACCACTCTCGTCCTAAACTTCTACATTACCCGATATCCCATCTCGAATATAATATTCTTATATCATTCTAAATCGCACACAATCTCTTCTTTTTCAGTCTTCTACTTTTTCTCTTAAATATTAATAATTAATGATTCTTTATTATCTATATTGAAGAGAAAACATTTTGATGATAGTTTGGTGACATTTTAACATTATTTTCATTATAATTCCTACTGATTATGATTCTTTTCTTCTCATGGCATGCCCCCCAAACCAAATCGGTCTATTTTCCCAACACTCCAAATTATACAATATAGTTGGTCTTGCCACACTCTTATAGAACTTACCTTTAAGTCTCATTGGAATCCTCTTGTAACATTAAACACCTGACACTTCCTTCCACTTTATCCAAATACATTTAATTCTATGTTTCACATCCTCGTCAAAGCCACTGTTCTTTTATACAGAAGTCCTAGGTACTTAAAACTTTTAACCTTCCCTAATACGTCACCATTTCTATTAACACTTTATTAAAAAAAATATTTTAAATAGTCTATGCTTAACTTCCTTAACATTTTCCATACTTTCTCTGAACATACCATTTTTCCCTTTTTATTGCTTTCACAGCTCGCTATGCTTCCTTATCTTTAATTAAACCTACCAGACCATTGTTCCATAAAACCCTCCAACATCTCCTTTGTGATACTTTTAACATTAACATTAATTCCTCATCTCATTTATATTTCACTCAACATTCCACACGACTCTTTCTTTTCTATTAATTTTTATCATCAGATTTCTTCTATTATTTTGTGCACTAGCTGTCCACTACACTAAAACCTTATGGCCATTACCTTCTGCTCTGTAGTTACACTTTTACCAGAGATAACTTTACAATAATTTACTTATTGAATATTTTCTCTCTTCCAAAAAAAATAATACATTTTTGATATATGTTCTCCACTCTTTAAAAGGATAGATAATATTCTTTAAAATGTTATATAAATAGAATTTATTTTATAAGATTAAAAAAAAAAATTGGAAAAGAAAATGCACATTAAAATTTGAATTTTTTTCTGTATAAATTACTTAGATAATGTAGGTAGGGTTACAATTTGTATTATCTTTCTATTCTATAGGTAATAATAAAAACTGTAGTATGATAACTATTAGGACTGATAGGAATAATCATACTAGTATACTAATGTAGGTATTCTATTGAAGAATTTTCAGAAGATTTTTTTGGAAGTCTTTTTTATAAATAAAAATACTCGCTATTATAACATTCAGCATATGTATATTTAATATAAACTACAAATGGTACGCTTAGAATGTTTTAGCTGAGATGGTTTAATGGTGTCCAAAAGTCTTACTGAATTCTCTTCTCTATTGTTAATGATGCTAATTATAGTTAAATTACAGTCTACTGAACACATTGAAATAGTTGATGTTGTTTTAAGAATAGAAAATCCTGTGTTTTATATTAAGTTTCTTATCCGTGCAACAATTGTAATAGCCTTTAGGTTTAGATACATTTGAAATAAATAGACAGTAATACGAAACAATTGTATAGGTAATTAAGTTATTTTTATAATCTATCTAGTTGTAATATTAAAACTAGCCTATTTATGTAATTGAATATGTGGTGTACTAAAATCACTTATTGTTAACATAAATTTAACATTTTTAATTCAAATAAATTAAATGTAAACACAATTTGATATTAAAATTCTATGTTAAACTCAATTTTATTTTTGACTACAAAGTACTATTCATAATGAACTTCCTGTTAAATTTTCAAGCTTTTCTGTTTGGTCAAATAGTTTAATCTATAGAGTACCTATCGAATACAAATTTCGTAAAAAACTTGCAAAATTTAAGTGTCTATAAATAGTTTTAAAAATTTTACCATGTCTAAAAAATCCAAGTAAAAGTTTTCTGTTCAAAATTCAAGACTACAAATATTGTTAACTGAATCAACAAAAAACGAAATTGGGAATACTATATTTTGTCCACTTTCCGGATTTTCATACGTTTTTTTCTCGATTATTATGGAAACCGTTTCGGAAAATCAATAAATGCTATTTTATTGAACCAACGACCTAATATTTCCATTCAGAAAAATTGCTACACTTAAAAATTGGAACAAGATTTCTGGTAGAAAAATTGTTCACTGATAAAAAAAAAAAATAATAACTAACATCATTGTAAAACCATTATATTCCTTGCTTCACTCAGGATCTAATATTAAATATTTGTGTTCTTATTTTAAAAATATCTCCGTTATATCTCATACTATACAAAAACAAATTGTTTAATCAAAATACAATTTACATTAAATTATTGAATAAAATTAGATACCTACATATCATTTATGTTTTTTTAATTAATATTCATTTTTGTGATAATTTAAATGGCTTTATTGAATAAGTTTATAATTTTTAATTTAATTTTTTTTTTCTTAGGAGTGGATGTTACAGCTAACCAAGATGAAATATCTGACCATGAGACTTTTCAATTGGAATTTGATCCTTCTACTAAAAGATGGTACATACGAACAATGCAAGACAGATATTGGACTCTTGAAACTGGAGGTGGAATACAAGCTGTGGCCGATAAAAAGTATATTAATTAGTATTGGTTCATATTTTTCTTTAGTTATCAATCTATACATTAGTTTTCAGCCGTCTTCCATTTTTCTTTATAATCAAATTTTCTTAAAATTTGTACATATAAGACGCATCCTCAGTACATCTTTATTAATTGAATGTACTCAAGGTGTAGTTTTCACTTAAGGTTCTTTTCTTATACACTCCAGAATCAATTTTAACAATCTCTTATCCTGTAGTATATGACCATTAATTTTGTCCTTAACATCATTTTCCCATAATTATGGGAATAAATCTATTACTATATATTAATATATATATAGTTTATTTATTTTTCAAATTATTTTCAGTACTTTGTTATTACTTACTCTATCTGTCTAACGTAGCGTTTTACAACAGGGAAAAAATTTCTCTCTAGGGAGGAATTTAGGTACTGTGTGGTTAATATAGCAATGGTGAAATTGTTAGAATAAAATATAAAATATGCAAATTGACTATATGTAAAACCATATCTCATATTTTTAATTAATATAGGGGCAGACATATTTTTTAAAATCTACAAAGATGTAAAATAAAAAAAGTTGATAAACACTAGTCACTCTAACTTACCTTTTGTACCTATCCTTGTATAGCGGCACATTTTAAATGTTCCGATCTTTTATACTCTTGTTGTTATTATTATTCTGGTTTAATCTAAAAGTCCAAACATGTATCTTCAGTAAATTTTTCTTAGTTTTGAGAAAATTTTTATAATTGATTGTTAAAACACTTATCTGCAATACAATTTTTTTTTAAATAGATCATCAAACGCACTATTTGAGTTGGCATGGCAAGGGGATGGGTCAGTTTGTTTCCGGGCAAACAATGGTAAATATATTTCTACTAAAAGGTCTGGTCATCTTTATGCAAATGTTGATACCATTGATGATGCTTGCAAATATTTCTTTTATCTTATTAACAGGTACCTATATATTTATTTATTATTATTAATTCTTACATTTTAGTTATTATTATAGGCATTAAACATTATTTTGATTTATAATTTTTAGACCCATACTGGTATTAAAAAGTGACCAAGGCTTTGTTGGTTACAAATCATCATCAAGCTTGCGCCTTGAATGTAATAAGGCATCTTATGAGACGATTCAAGTTGAACGGTCAGATCAAGGAATAGTATTTTTCAAAGGTACCTATTATCATAGCTAAACTTTATCAAAAAAATGTATTATTTATAATTATATTATTCAGGTCAAACTAACAAATATTGGCATGCTAACGATGAAGGTGTTTCTGTTGAATCTGACGTGCCTGAAGGATTCTTTATCGAGTTAAGAGAACCAACAAGAATATGTATTAAAAGTGTTACAGGTTACTATCTTACGGCTGGTAAAAATGGAATGTTTAGACTTGGTGATGGAGATTATAACAATGCTACAAAATGGGAATATTAATATGATTTACTATATTATATAATTCCTTTGTATACTTGTGCACTTCAAATTGGGAAAAACGAACTAAAATAATAATAGTAAGGTGATTAAACACTATGGGATTTATTTTAAATAAATATGTTTATAATAAATGGTACTTAAAAATATAATTTGAGGCTTTTTAAAAAATCAATGTCAATAAATTAAATATTATTTATTATATTATGAACAAGTTATAACTTACTAAACTGATTAAGTCTATAATAAAATGTGTGACTAGTGAGTTTAATATAAAAATAGTTACAGTTCATGATGATTAACTTGATTTATAATCTTTAAATACATATTTATTTTAAATTATTAAAATTATCAACAAAATATTTTTGAAATGGTTTAAAATTTAAAAAATATTTAATTTAATGAATCCATCATATAATATATATAATATATATATATATTGCTATTTTTTTTATAAACAAGGTATACAACATGTATACAAATCAAATTGAATTTTGTTAAACAAATTAACATTGCTCAATATTTGTAAAATTATGTTAAAAAAAAAATTGTATACAAAATAATACAAAAATATTTATAAACCTACACTTTTTTGTATAATTTTTTATATACAAGATATATTATTCATTAGTCATAATAATTAGTCATAATATGACTGACTTAATAATTTAAAATTTTAAAAAAAATATACTTATTTTGCTATTTTTTCTATCTATTGGATTCAGCTTAATATTATTTTATAAAAACAATATTTCTCTTTAATAATGAACATATTTTAAGTACAATAATGAAAATATATAATTTTGACTCCACTCCCTCTACTGGAAACAATTTGTATAACAATTTTGCTTTAAATATACCTACACTAAATATAATAGTGCAAACAAAAACATCATTATTCATACTATGCTGGAAACAATTTTTATTTATTACAACACTATCATAAAATATGAGTAAACATTTTAAATGTGCATTGATAAAAAAAAAAAAACTAAAAGAATCTTAGATATCCTTTAAACATATAAAAAATATTATACAAAGTTATTTATGTATAATTTTTGCTTCCAAAATATGTATTAAATTGTATGCAGATTGCCTTAAAGATCAAAAAATAGGTAGTTTATTTTATCATTTACTAGTCTTCCAAAGAAATAGAATATTCATTTAATATAATATTTATTTACTTTTAAACATTTGTATGCATTTATGGAGACTGTTCGGTATTTATTGTAATAATATTATAATATTTTATAAAACTATTTTTGTGTTAAAATTAAATTAACAATTTTATACTTATAATTTATTTATTTTATGTTTATTTATATTTATTTATACTTTCTTTTTGTTAAAAATATATTTTGTAAAATTTATACTTAGTAATATAATTTGAATACAATATCCCCCAAAATAATTTATTTAATATTGAATATCTATACTTAATATTTAAAACTTGAAACGCTCGAAGAATATTATTACATAGATACACTATTTAAATTTATGATGAAGAACATTAAACCAATGTTTACTTCATAAGAAATGATTTTAGTTTATGTGATTCAGAACTTACGGTCTAGTCTATTTTTTACTCTTTAAATTAAGCAATACAATTTTTTTTTAATATTCATGAGCAAAATTGATCAAAATCAAGATTGTATTCTATCAATTTACAAAACTTGTAACTTATGTTGCATACCTAATCAAAATGTTTCACTTCTATGATAAATGGAAAATAAATTTAACTTTCATTTTTATTAGAAATGCCTACAATTATTAGACTAGACCCATAATTCTGAGATACACATTAGATATAATTTATATTGTAGTTATTTTGTCTCGAGACCTAATAATTTTATGTCTTATAATACATAATTTACAAATCCAATTACTTTATATACCTTTGTGTATTTTTTTTAGTAGAATTGTGTGCAATTTTTTTTTAAATATATATACCTATATAGTTTTAGTCACATGAAATAAAATATTAAATTCCAAACATAATAAATGATACAATCTTATCACTATATTTTATATTCATTGTGTGATTGATAACAATCATTATTATTCTTTTTAAGTAGAGTCCTTAAATAAATTATCAATAAATACTTAATTCATAATAATTGTTTTTCTTGGATTTTGTTATCTATTTATATATTTTATTCCTCAAACATAATCACATCACATCACACACTTTATAAATTACATAGTGTGGTGCTAGAATCTGACAGTTGTGACAATAAAATAAAAATAAAAATAAAAATAAAACAATTTTTTTTATTAAGTAACAAATTTAATTTACAATAATAACATTGATAATTTTGTTCAAAAAAATAATAAAATGAGCAAGCTCAATATTACAGATGAGAATATTGAGAGTATTTACTGAGTGATTTTTTTATGAACCAGTAATTTTCTTGGGGGATTTTAAGTGAATTTGATTTCTGCTCATTTGAATCATCATGGAATTGTTTAATTATTATTTTAAAATCCTTTTTAACTTTTACCTCTACACCTTGTACTTTAAATAAGTATATTATTTTGTTTTCAAATAGGAACACTCCTTTTTGAACACCAATTTGACTAGAAAAATTTTTTTTAGAAATATTGATATACATAACATTGATATCAGATAAATTTGATATCTGTTATGAATTATAACCATTTAATAATGTCCAAACTGTAGAAGTAGGAAAGAGCAATAAATTGCATATCTATTTTAAAGTAATAAATTGATAGCTCCTCCTAACTTCTAAGATGTAAATTTTAAATGGTTATAACTCATAAATGGTAAATCCGATGGTGTTATGATTTTTAAAATAAAGCTTAACCGATTCAAAAATGATTAAAAATACAGAAATCAAATTCACTTAAAATCCTTCGAGACAATTGCTGGTTCGTGATAAAAAAAAATAACACTGTATTAATTAATAATAATACTAAAATAAAATATTTTTGTATTTCTCAGTATCACATGTCAATATTTAGGTACGAGTTTAAAATTGTCCCTAAGGTGGAAACAAAAAAATCTGCATTTGCTGGAAGTTTATTACATAAAGCCATAGCCCTCGGAATAAGGGAGTATTTTAAATAATTTATGCTGTATGGACCTAATTTACCAAATCTAATTAATTTTACTATTGACTAATTTATAAACAAATAGGAAATATCCACTAGTTAACGTCTAGAAGCATGCCTTGGAATAGAAAGAACCTAACTATCATATAATAATGGTTATTAATTGAATATTGAATTTAAAAATGATAAATTTCAGAAAATAATTTTGGACGCATTTAATTCAATTATTATCTAATTTTTAAAACCTACAGAGTGACTCCTAGTAGGCGATCTGTATTGTACAATGAGTGACTCTTAACAATACACTTAATGTGTCTCCGAAAATTTAAATTGCTTGTTATAATTATTCCTAAGTCATTTGAAGTAACTGAATTGATTTTAATGTTGTTTATTTATTATAAATAACATATTACCATGGGATCTGTAAAAACACATTGAGTAGGTAGCATTTACAAGCAATAAGTCTTATTCCCCAGTTTTATAAGATGTTTAATTTCTCTTGTAAAATTAAACAATCGTTTAACTCGAGTGAAGATTTAAGTTCTTTGCAAAAAAGAGCATTTTAAGAACTGAGGAGATTATATTAATAAATAAGGTAGGTGATAATGACCGCGTTTCGAAGTTTCTGAAGGAATTAACAACATATTCGAGTAGAAATCTTAAATTTTAATGAACTGAGATCTATTAGTGAGATAAGAGTTAAACCAAGATGGTAGGGGGTTGCCAAACTCTAATTGGTCCAAATATTATTGACTCAATAAAAAGCCTTCCAAAAATCTGTGTATATTACATCAACCTGACAATTTTTTTTAAAAGAGTCAAATATAAATTGTTGTAGAAATAAATTAATAACAATGTAAGCTAAGAGAAGTATTCAAATTTGATTTTATTATAACCCATTTTCAACACCTGAAGCTAATTTAAAGAAATTTAAAAAAAGACTGACATACTTTGCATATAGGTGGCCTACTGTTATAGGTTTGATGTTTGGAAGGTAGAGGGGAAATTGAATGTATAACTGTACACAACGAAAAACGATTCTTAGCGAAGTTCAGTTAATAATGTTGCTATGTCAATACTATATGTCATACTATGGTAAAATAATTGCATATATATTATATATTTTCTTTAATAATATTTGTTTAATATTGAATCTATTTTTCTGTTTTTCCCAATTATTATGAAAATAATTGGAAAAATAAAAAAATGACTTCCTTAAGTGCCACCCCAGTCAGATATCCTTCAGAAAAAGTACTACACTTGAAAATTTGAGCAAGATATCTGATATACTCCATCTCACGAGAGTAGGTAAATGTTACACTCATTGACGATAGCACAGAGGCCAAATTTCTCCCAGTCCTTACCACATAATAATGTAACCAAACAAGCAATAAGGGTGAGAGATATGCAGTGATGGACAAATACGTGTACCTTCTCTCATGAGACAGAGTGTAGAAAAGTTGTCCACAATAAAAAAAAAAAAATAAACATTTTAAAATTATAAATAATATAATTAAAATATATAGTGCAACAATAAATTGTTTATTGAGTATTTAACATTAAATTTTAATTATTATTTATAATAATATATTTACATAAAAGTAAAACATCTAACAAAATTAAGAGCAAATATTTACTTATGTACTTAACTTTCGTAATTTACAAAACAAACATAATACCCTTTAAAACTCTTATCTTTGCTTTGAGTTTTTAATTTTTAATTTTCTTATGATTTATATACAAGATAAAAAAAAATATAATTTTATGTGGTATTCATTTTCAAAAAAAGTTACACACTTAAAAGGTTTTATGCTAGAGCAATAAATCTATAAATAAATAAATAATAGTATAAAACATATAAATTAATAAATAGCAATGAATACCAGAAGAACAGTTTTTAACAGGTTATAAATATAAACTATTTAAAATAGGATACATTATCCACAGAGATTAATGATGATCATTTAGCTGTGTATTAAGGCAATTTAATCAATAATAAAATACATTGTAATTTTCAGGACAATCATGTTATTTAAATTAAGCTTCACATTATTTTGGTACAATTCTAATATTAAAATAGTAATGATGGTCATGAAGATCATGAAGTACTTTGTAATTTTATTTCTTTATCACATAGCCTTTAAGTTCCATTGGCTGCATGTTTTGTGGTTTTAGGACATCAACTTTTGATCCAATGTGCACAAAAGACAGTGAAGATTCATATAAAGTTATTTTCTCAGCCGTTGAAGATACAAGAGGTTTAAAATCAATCTACAAATTATCATTAAATACAAATACAATAAATAAAATGTTTTATTAATAAAGATAATCATTTAGGTACCGAGTTTGAATAATTTCTATTGGCATCTATAAAACCATAGCATAAGGTTGTCTGAGTTCTATGAAAAACCAATCCTACAGCGGGTTTTGATTGTTGGAGGATTAATGATGCGGTAACTAAATGAACATCGCTTGGTAATGATGTTAACTGGGAACTAATGTATGTGTCTTCTAAGTGATCATATTTTGATGTATCTAATAGTGATATAGTAGGATACAATAATGTTGACATAGATATCATTCCGAGAGGTGTCAGATTGGGTAAATCCATCTATACAAAAATTCACTTTTAAAAGCTAAACGATTTTAATAATATATGCTGAATAATTTCTTATTTACCTGACAGTTACCAATGTTTTCCTCAACAAGTAATCTAAAAAATGTCAGTGTGGGTATATTGTCTAAAACTCCTTGACCCAACCCACGGTTGTCATCTTGTCTTAATCGTCGATCCTGTATAACCTATAAAACCAATTAAAATTGAAGAAAAAGTTGTATTATTTTTTCAGTAGAATTAAAAATATTTAATTATTTTACCTCCATCTGCCCGTTATGCAATGATGATGCACCTAATGGTTGAACTGATAATAATGATATTCTAGTGTTGTCATCTTCAATATACATTGCACTAGACATAGGATAGAAATTACCTTGAATTGGTAGTTTTTTGTAATACTTTCTACGTGTCATCTTTTAATAAAACAATTACAATAAAATTTATATATTTAGTTATGTATAGTACACATATAATCCATTTGTATTACTTGAAATCCATTTAAGTCTGTATAAAATATATTATTATTGTCCACTTCAGTGGTAACTCTCATAGCTAGTTCATAATTCATTTCTTGTCGAATATCAACTAAATTCCGTATTTCAACATCACTTATATCTGAGTATAAAAATTAAAGAATATATTTTTATCAATTTAAAAAAAAAAATTTCAAGTTACCTTTCATATGACGAATCAGTACTGAATGTTTCACATTATTATATCGGATTATTACTTGTGATAAAACATGTCCTTTAACGACATAAATTGTAGGTTGTTGCTCAGAGGAATGAGCATCAACAGCTTCCCCTGATGGCATAAACAAATAAGCCCCACTCATGTCTTTACCATGGGCTACACCGTATCTAAAAATAACAATACATTTAAAGTGAAAACATATTAAATAATAATTATTGTTATTACTTCACAAATTTTATTGATACAGGATATTGTTTTCCAGAAGATTTAAGCATAATATTTTTCAACAAACCATCACGGTTAAATGATGCAACAATTTTTTCATTTTCAATTGAAAATTCTTCCATGTCAATTGTTTTAATATCTATCCTAGGATCTAAAACTGCGTCAATTTCAGGGTTGTAAACACTGATTTCTGACATATATTTTCTAATAAAAAATAAATAAATGTTAATTTATATTTATAATATTTTCATACAATTTTGTATTAAACCAATTTGAATTTAAAATTGATGTTTTGAATAAAAATGTGACATTCCAATAACTTATTAATTAATTACATATTTTAATATTAAAAAATTTAAAAATAATTTTTAGACATTTAATAAAAATGTTTAACATTACAGGGTATTATTTTTTAAAATTTACTTGGTACTGATATCTGTAGGCATATAGATAATAGTATATCTTTTTATTTCCAAAGGGCCAAGTTCTACAACAAAATGCAATTGGAAACATGTCTTTAATATTGGTATATCTTCTAGAAGATTACAAGTAGAATCTATTTGAAACAATATATCCACACCTTCTGCATTGACTACCTATATTATTTTCAATACACAAAATTGAAAAAAATATAAAATAATACATCAAATGTATATAATAGGGACTTAATGTAATCATCGATAAATTGAAATAATTATTTAATAAAATTACTTTTGTTAAGTTCAATATTATTTATAAATTTACTGTATCAAATATTAAGTTTTATTGAATAAATTACTTAGTAGAACCAAAAAAAAACACTATTATCGCATTAAACATTTACTCATTACAGTATAATAAAAATTATAAAATACTATTATAGTCAATTTAACTAGTTTAATTCACTCTGTATATAAATATGTTTATTCTGTTTACTAAAGTTTTGTCATTAAACTAACCTTTATGTTTTCACTTGCCACGAATAATGTGACAATTTCATGTCGAACAAATGATGTCAAAGAATTGAACACAATTACATTTTGAGAATCTTGATTTTTACCAAAACTTAAAACTCGATGTTGAGCCAAATAAGTACTATGAACTCTTGAATAATCTACCTCGAAGTAATTGGTATTGATATCAAAAATATATTTTTCCTAAGGCATAATACATAAATTGTTTAAAAATTATTGTGAACAAATGCATAAAAAGATATAGTATCAGGGCCGGAAATAGGTTTAACAATGTTAAGCAGGTAACTCCTGGTATTAATGAGTCACAGTTTTTAAACTTAAATAATGTTTAATACTGATATAATTTAATGACTTATTATTGAAAATTAATAAGAAAAAGAAGTGAAGAAGAAACAACTTCATAAGCAAGAAGCTTAAATAAGATTAGACCTGCAGTTTGTCAATGGTATAACAGGGAGATCAAATCTAAGGCTTTTAGACAAAAGAATAATTATGCAGTTATATTGTTGTGTTATAGCACATTTGAGACTTATAGTAGTAGTTAATTTATAAGAGAAAATAGGTGTATCACTCTCCCTTTCCTCTTGGGCCATGATTTTTACAATATTTTTTTAAATAAAAATAAGGAAAAAGTACATAAATATATTTATAAAAATGTAAATACATTAAAATTGATATTATAAATTAACTTTTTGAAGTGTTAATTAACACCTCTTTTTTTTTATTAATTTTAACTGGTAAAAATCCCTAGCCTTGATTATAAACATTTTTAACATTAATTAATCTACTAAACTAAAATGTAAATCAATCATGTAATAATTTAAAATCAATAATCACTATAAAATGTGTGTGTCTTTTTATATATTCCATTAGTTAAACTTATACAAAATCATTTCTAGTAGTATAAGATCCTTTAAAAATCTAAATCCGATCCTGATTAATATGTTTATTGAAAATTTAAAAAAAAAAAAAACCTTTTCTTGATATAACAAAAAATATATACAGTGTTGAATGATATGATTTAAATGAGTTAATGAATTCAGCATTCTGAAATCATAATAAATCATCATTATTTATTCAAATTTAAAATAATGAGTAAATATTACTTTTCAGCATAGTCATTAACTACTTCATTTTTTGCTGTCCCTGTAATTCCATCATGATGTTGAAACAAACTATGAGAATTTCTTGCAGCTTGTAAATAACTATACAACTCTGAATTTGGTTTCCACAACCAAGAAGTAAAATTTAAAGGTGCACTCAACCAAACTAAGGAATATAAAATCTCTGTTGCTCTAAAAAAAAATAAATATGTAATCAAATTATCAAAACTTGTTAAGTTTGAAAATATTTATATTTTACATAAATCTACTATACCTTATACCTTTTTTTTTTAATTGATAGTATATAATACTATAATATTTAGTACTTAATAATCTATATATTGCATAATGTAAAATGAAGCAAACAATTTTTATTGGTATTAAATATAATCTTAAAACCTCTACCTAAAACCTAAGATTTGTAATCGGTTAAAAAAGTATTATCGATTTAAAAAAAAAAAATTGAATATTTGTTAAAGTAAATTTTTAATTGTTCACAAAAATTTATTAAAATACAGTAAATAATAAAATATACTACATCAATATTTTTAAACAATTTGTCATACCTTAACTTAGCAAGAAGTTCTCGATCCATACATTTATAAAAAGGTCTGGATGTGAAATATCCACTCCAGTAATCTTGATCTTTATCTGCATATGTAAAGAAATCGCCAGTTAATGATGGGAAATTCGTATAAAAAGATGACTTTTGAACAGCTTCAAAATAATCTTTTAATGTACCAAATGATGCCTTATTATTTAAAAAAAAAAAAATTATGAAATCATGAAATATTAGTAACAAAATAACCAATTCAAAATTGTATTAATGTCCAAAACTAACTTCTACATATAATGAATCACTATTACTGTTTATATAGTCAAATAATTTTTGATAATTGGTCATTTGATAATTCCATTCTGTAGCGATGTTATATCGAAAGTCATCTCCCAAAGGAACAAGTAGAACATTTGTATTATACAATTCTGCTTTTTTTTTATATTGGTCTAATAGCAATAATGCTCTATTAATAAAATAAATAGTTAGTTAACTATTTTTATATTGAATTTATATTTACAAAATTCATTAAAGCTTAATTGCTTTTAATTTACAAATTTGTTCACCTTTTCTGTATATTAGATGAAGTAATTTGTATCGGGGGTATCTTCCATGGGCAGTGTAACCCAAAAATTGGTAATCGTTTAAAATCGAATTGACAACAAACACTAGGATCTGGACCACAAGTATGAGGTATATCATAATTATAAAATGGCATCATGTGGGTAAATAACTCATTTTCATTAGTATTGCATTCTGTATCTATGAAAATCAAAAATATGTAAAACTGCAATCCATGGAATATAACAAGATTAATTATTATATTTTTATGTATACCCCAGTGTTGTCTCCATCGAAATTCCAATTGTTTTTCTTTAGCCAAATACTTCTTAATAGAATAATGAGTTCTTTGTATAACTAAACTAGACAATTTCATTTTTTTCAATATGTAAGGCATAGTTGGAGATACCCCGAAAGGATCAATACACCAACTATAACTGTGAAAACAAAATTAATACATATATAGAGTATAGATATATACTATACATACTATACATATATAGAGTGATCCATTTAAGTCTTTAATCAATATTTTGAAAAATATACTTTTTTTCAAAAATTGTTTTTTAGATAATTAAGAAACAAACAGCTCTAAAATGCTACATTATGATTATTTTTATCATCCATATTTTTAGAGGTCAAACAACTACTGTTCATTTTCAAAATCAACCTACATTAAAAATTGCATAAATAAATAGAGTATTAGTTTAAATAAATGATAGAGATGAAATTTTTTATTTTTGTCAACTCGTTAACAAAGTATGCCACTTTTTAGTAGAGGTAGGGGGAGGGTTATGCATCATTTGTGTGATGGCATGGTACTTAGTGTTTTAATAAAGGATAACATATTAAAATCAAAATTAGGTAATTGTTTCAACCCAAACAAAATGGATGACGAAAAATAATGACAAGGTAATATTTTAGAGCCGTTTGTTTTTTTAATTATCTAAAGAATAAAAACAAATTAAATTCTTTTCAAAATATTAAGTGTAGACATTTAAATAGTTTTAGGTATTATAAAAATATATCGTTTTAAATATACTGAAGAGCCAATAATTTCTTAATTATATAATGCTTAAATATATAATTAAGCTGTTTTTTAAAGTTTGTAAATCTTACTTAGCAGTAATATTTAAATTTGTCATCAGCCACTGATGTCCATTTGTAAGTTGAGTGATCATTGATGAATAATGGGAGTTTGCTTCATCTGTCATAACCCAACCACCAGTGACTATTTCCAATTGTCCATTATTAATCAAACTTAATACATGTATGCAAAAAATATAAACAATAATTATCTAAATTATTATTAATTTCTAAACTGTATTATTTATACCTTTTCACTTTATCTTTCGTAATTTGATTAATATCATTCCACCACAAAGATAAATAAGACATTTCTGCCCATATAAACTTTCGTCTATAGTCTTCTGATAATTTAACCACCATACTATCTAATATATTCTTTGTATCACTATGATAATAATCTTCAAAAGTTCTTTTCCAACCAGGATCATTATGTGAATGAGGTACCACAAATACCTTTAACTTATTATTTGAATTCCACCGTGTTTTATTAATTTGAATATCCCAACCTTGTTTCCATGCACCCCCATCAATATTGTCAAACTGCAGTTTATCATATAAATCCCACATCTAAAAATCGAAACAAAAATAATAAATAAACAGAAATCTTGTACTATTATAGAATTATAGTACAAAAATCTATGTAAAAACAAAACAAATAAAATTAGTAGGTATCCACACATTCTTAAACATAATAATACATGCATATAGTTGTAAAAATAAATTATCAAAAAACTTTTTGGACTTTTTGATGACAGTCATTTTGGTGAATTTTATTTTCATTAGTCGTTTTAGTATAAAATAAAAAAACTTGCAGTAAAATTGAAAAATATTATTTATTTCTTTATCATAATGGCATGATAGACAACTTAGTACATAGTTTAACATAAATAAAAATATATAAAAAATATGTAATAAATCATATAACTTGCAAAGTATTTATTATTAATTAATGCATGGAAGTCACTAAAATGTTAAAATATGTGTAGTTCATAGACAAGTACAAATACACAGTATCCAACCGTATTTTTCCAATATTAATGTTTAGATTTTTTTTTTAATCTGATTTTTTATCAAGGCAACATATATGCTCAGACAAATTAAATTTGTATTTCAACTCCTTAATTATTAGGTAATAAATATCATTCTAAAAATGTATCATATATACCTATATATCTGATAAATAGTTTCTTGGTAATAGCAGTTTTTATTTCTAAAAAACGGTGTATTCATTTTTTTTATTTAGTTTTCTCATAGTTTTATTAAAATGAATTAATTTATTACACAACATAGTAGTACCATATATCTATTACAAAGTGGCTATTTTGAAAAATTAACAAATAAAAAGTTATATTTTTCTGGTGCTTAAAGGATGAAAATAAAAATATAATTTGTTTAAAATATATGTATCTTTTAATCACAAAACCTTATTCAAAACAAAAATTTAATTATTAATAATATTAATATTGGGAAAACTGACGGGATACCCTGAACACTGATTGTTTCAAACTTATAATATACTATTATCAGAATAAAAACACACTATTCTACGCATTTACACAACACTGAACATTATGTAATTGGTTATTAATAATTATTTAGTAGAGACATGCACGCACGCGAAACAATTTTAGTCCCCTGCCTGGTGCATTCTTATTCTGAAAATGGTATAATTGGATAGAGTAATATCATTAAGAAATATTGAGAAATATGTAATTTTTATTATATCTATTTACTAACTTTATAATTTGATTATCAATTAGGTAAATAAATAATTTTCACAAGTACATAGCATGTAGTTTTTACAATTATTGTTAAAATAGCATTGCCTAAATTACTGTCACTGAAATAACAACACCGAAAAGTCCTATTCCAAGAATTTTTTCATAATAAAGTTTATGTTCATTCCACTATTATAAGAATTGAAGTAATGATTGAACTGTAAAACTATTGAAAATATAAAAACTGATTCCAATTCTGCATATACATCATGCACATTTGGTTTATACATGTATAACTTAGATATAACATTAGACTTATAATATCCTAAAAAGAATAAATAAAATGTATTCAAAAAAAAATTTTAATTAAGGAAATAACTTTATTATTTAACACTATAAAATATGTAGTTATCTGGTTCAATTTGTTATATAAATACACAAATGTATGTCTTACAAAAATAATATGGGCTTCATATTTTAAGTAAAAAATAGATTGTTCAACTAATCGTAATTATCAAACAATATGAAATCTTGTGAAAATTATTTAATATATCTATAGGTATATTAAGATAAATAAGTTTAGATTAAAATGTTTATTATAAACATTATTTGATCATACATACTCCAGTTAAAAAATACCAGATTAAAGTACTTTATAAAGCAAAATAATATAAAATAAAAAGTAACACGGTAATCCTATACAAAATCACCAATAATGTGAATTCATAATAATTATGTCCCTTCCTTTAAAAATACATATCTACATAATAATATAGATTATGATTTTCAATAAAATAGAGATTTAAAATAAATTTCTACTCCTCTAATCAACAATTAGTTTCCATAAGATTTATAAAAATTAATACAAATTAGATGTAGATCTAACTTACATTAATATTTGGATCACATATTCCATTAGATAAAAATGTGTCTTCAACATTATTTTGTGTTAACTGAAAGAAAAATTAAATGTTAATTATGAATAATGATAATGTTTGAAAGTAGACATTTTATAGCCAATTATTTATATAGAACATGATAAATTATTATAATACTGACAATATGATGACTAAATAATTATTTATTAAGCCAAGGATAGAAGAAATTATTCTATTCATATATCACAATATAATATTACATACCTTGGTTAAACTAGATGTTTCTGGTATACTTTTATTAATACCATTTTCTAAGGTATTTATATTTTCTATATTCAATTCTAATTTATTAAGTTTTGACATTAATTGTGATTTTTCTTCATGTGAAACTGTTCCATACGGCTAAAATAAATATAATGAAAATAAACAAAACATTATAAATAATATAAAACTAATATATATATATATATATAATATTCATATAAATAAACCTAATGTATACATAAAATAATTAAAAATTAAAAGGAAAATTATTTAAATCTTACAGAGTTAATATTTGTATTTTCCAATAGAGAATATAATAAAAAACATATAAATAACACAATCAACAGAAGCAATAAAAAAAATCTCTTTTTAAAATTCATTTTCATTATCAAGTGTTCTATAATTCTAAATCATATTTGACTATTATTAAATATCTTTTGAAAATAATAAAAACTAAATGGGTAGGTACTAATTATGTTTACCAAGTATTTGGTACTGATCAAATACATAGGTACAACACTTAATTCAACAATAAAAAAAAAACATTGTCACAATAATTTATTATGAGTTAATTATAATGATTTCATATTAATTAACAAGGTTTAAACAAATTACAAATAAAAAATTGAACCTAATTTTCTCTTGACAGTTTACACTGTTTACAGTCTCCTATCGGCTATCGGCCACCTTATCGTAATATTATTATCTGTATTTTTATCAGAAATTATTAAAAATGTTTAGAATAGGTACTACTGATACTATTAGCATGTAATTTCTGTCAATTACACTTAGCACTAATCAATTAGGTTTGTTATTATTCGTTGTGTATTTCTGTTAAATATAACTCTAAAAATTAGGTAGCTGGGTTAAAAAGCGAAAGATTCTAGTTGGATTTCTGGTTCGACTGCCTGATTTTTAGTTCCAATTTCCGATTTCTAACACTTGCAATACTTAAAAAAAATAATATAATAAGTACTGGCTTAAATTCCTAAGTAGTTGCTCAATGAAGGTACAAAGTAAGTCAGATTTGTATTAATTAGGTAGGTACTTACAAATAACTTAGAAGATTAAATAATTCAAGTGGAATTAATATTATAATCTGTGTAAATTGTAATAAGTGTTCATCGTATTATTACTATTTTATCATTTTACATCCATATAGATATTAGACCAACACCCTTGATGAGTTTTGGTCATTTATTCAACTTTGTTTGAGACTATTTTTCTGAGTATGGTTATATTATGACAAATAAAAAGAACATTAGAAATAAAGAATATCAGATCAACGGGTGGCCGAGTCCTTGTGCTTATAAACGAATTAACAAGAAAACATAGTTTACAGAAATTAAAATAATTAAACCGAGACACCACACTACAACGCGTTGTCATAAATAATAATCAATTTTAATTTTTTGAGTTTTCTCCCATTATGAAACTATTCCGGATATCAAAAAACGACTTTCTTTGATAGCGGCTAAGTATATGTTAAAAGAAAGAAAATCGATCTCTTGTCATTTTCAGAATGAGCAATTTATCTGGTAAAAAATATTGCAAAATTAAAAACAACGAAATTAGTAACACAGTAACACCGCGGCGCGATGTGAATATTTGCCGTTTTATATATAACTCATCTTTCGGGGTTTTTCTAATTATTTTGATAACCCCTAAGAAAATTAAAAAAAATGATATCCCCAATGCACCAACTAGATAAAATTTTCTTTCAGAAAAAATACCAAACCCTAATACCCTATACATTGGATCAATATTTCTGGTAAAAAGTAGTTTACAAACATAAACAGAAAAAATAATACACAGCGTAGTAATTAGTAAAGCCAATAGATCCCTCGTTACACTTCGAATCTAATATATTCAGCATTATACATTGTGTGTACTGTACTACTATTTTAACTCCGTTTTTTGACAATTTTGTTACGTATATGCACAGGTAGTGGATCTGATGAGGAAGGAGCTGGAATAGTATTTGAGGCTGACCACGCTGCATTTTGTGTAACATTTGTAAGATTGTGGATCACTAAATCTATGTCATCGGGCGTTTTTAGTTTTATGTTTAAATTTATTTCTTTACCGACTAGTTCGATAAACCTAGAATGATCTATAAATTTATTAAATAGTTTGTTGGCTTTTTTATAAGTTGGGGAAGTATTAAGAGTGAGGAACACTGATGAATGATCTGAATTTAAATCAAGTAAATTTTTAGTAGTGCTAATTAAGTTATTCAGTATTTTGGTCACAAAAATATCTAGAATATCCGGGTTTTTCCGGGAAGACGACGGGCCAATATGTTGGATCAGGTGGGGCTAGAACTTTAAATCTTTTTAAATTGGTAAAATTATACATGTTGACGTAGGGTCACTACGTGGGTTATTCACTCGGCACCCCCATGACTGGTGCTTGGCATTGAAATCGCCGCCTATAATAAAGTAGTTATTAAATGTGCTGAAGTAGTCAGAGAGTTGTATGTCAGTAACGATATGTTTAGGGGGTGAGTATATGGCACCAATAGTGAGTGGTGTATTATTTATTTTTAATTTAATAGCACAAAGTTGAAGAAAAGCCTGGGAAAAACTGGACAAGGAATACAATTCTATAGTGGATTTAACAAAAATAGCAGCACCACCGTGTGCTGTGTTATCTAGGTGATTTTTTTGAATTAAAGTATACCCAAGAATATGGATATACGAGTATTGTGTAAAATGAGTCTCGGAAATGAGTGCAATATCAATGCGTTTGTTGATAAATACAGATTCGAGTTCATGGACATGGTTTTTAAGTCCATTATCGTTAAATTGTAATATTAAGAGCGAGTTGTCAGTGACAGAATTATTATAATTATTAGTCATTATTTGTCGAGGAGCTTGGAAATTACTTTAGTCAATAGAGCTATAATTGGGTTAATTAAAGTTTTAAATTCGTCTAAAAAACTGATCATTAATTTATTTAAATCAGGAGAATGAGTTTCATTGGAAGATGGTGAAGTGTAGTTAACTAGAGTGTTGTACGTAGCCTGAGCGTAAGTTTTCGTTTGTGGATTAGAGTGAGTGTGATTTGGTGGGTACCTTGTATATTAGTGGACTTAGTTTTATAATTATTATCTATACAATTACTTAGTACACTGGGTGTTTTTCGACGTTAAAGATCTTTATAGATTGAGCAGCCTTTATAATTGGCTGGGTGACTTTGAAAACAATGGACGCATTTTGAGACATCTCGTGAATTAGGGTATGCAGATGACTGATGATCCGCCCCACAATGAACACACCGGGGATGGTAACTACAGTATGTTCTAGTGTGTCCGTATTGTTGGCAGTTGAAAAATTGGGTGATTGTTTTTGGTTTATATGGCTCTTCAATTTTAATTTTACAGTGAAGTAGTAATGAAAGTTGGAAAATTTCATTAGACTGCAGTGTTGGTTCAAGGTCGATGAAAAATAATGGAAGGGAGATTTTGCTAACTTTGTGTTTTGTGTAATAAATCAGTAACTTGCCTTACCTCAAAACAACAAACATCTAACTCATCTTTTATTAGAGTTAGCGGCATGGATGAGTGGAGGTTACAAATAACTACTCGGAATGGTTTGTCCTCTTTCAGTTGGTAAGTATGATACTCAGCTTTTTCAGTTTTCAAAAATTGTATTAATGTTCTGTATGCACTAGGGTCCTTGATTTGTATTTTCAAAGAGTTAGTTGTAGACTTGTACATGAAATTGTCTACACCAATTAGCTCAATTAAGGTTGTACATAATTCGGGATAATCTTCGATACCTTTGGCGAATATAGGAGGAGGAGGAGGTTTAATGATTATAGTTTCCGCATCAGTATTAGTTTTAGGGGAGTTGGGTATATTTTTAGTAGTAGAAGTGGTTTCAAATGGGTCATCTTGGGAAAATATTTAGAATCTGTTACATGTAAAAAAAAATTTTTTTTAAGATTTGTATGAATAATATTCATATTTGGATTCGGAGTTGGTGGTTTGTATGCTGAGTTTGAAGAGCTGAAAAGATTACATTTATTAATTTGAGTTAGCCAACCATCATTATTCATGCTGTTTGAATCGGGTTTATTTGAAGGGCTGTTTAGGTGAGCATCCTGTATAATAGTTGTTTTTTTTTTTTTGTTATTAATAGTACTATTATTTATATTATTAGTTTGTACATTTGGCGATTTAGGCATGTTTATCTCAAGGGCGAAGGTCGCCCTCCGTTGCGCGGCGCGGTCAGAATGCGACGGATGTAGGTAATAAGACACTTGAAAATTATTACGAACTGAGTCAGTTCACATTATGATTTTCAAATTTTAACGAAAATTACCGCATATGTCTTACCAAACTTCGCTCAGAATCGTTTTCGTAAGCAACGGTTTATCGTCGCGTATAGATATAATACATAAATAAAATTACTTTATGTATTCTATTTTCCCATTAGTTCTTAATTCTCTAGTGTTTTAAATTTTCACACAATTATAGAAACCTCAATGTTATGCACGGTCAATTCAGAAATCCAAAATAATTTTGGTTATACATTTTTGATTTAGAATTGATTTCGCATAAGAACCTACAATTTTCGATTCACACGAGTACCATTTTTTTTTGATCCAGCAAAATTTTCAAAAGTTCGCCCTAAGTTGTACTTAATATTCCAAAATTATATTCATGATATTTATGAGAACAAAATTTAAATATTCAATTTTATCAAATATAGTTTTCGTCAAATATCCTTAACTCGAGAAATAAAAATGTTATCAAAATAATTCAAGCTCTTATAGGAAACGTATTTTATAATTAATTTATTGATACTTATATAAAAATAAACAGTAGCTTTAAATAGTAAGTAGTTACTTGCGCCGAATAAGAAAATGTCATCATGATGCGGCAGTATGCAGCGGTGGCATAAAGGAATAAAATTAGTTTTATGTAGACGTGTAATGCATTCTACGACAGTAATAGATAATAAAACGCTACGCAGTTGTTACTTGTTATACTTTAGATAGTTTTATACTCCTATCCAATGCACGATTAAAATTTAAAGATATATCTTAATCAGAGACGGATTTGCACAATTGCTGTTTTTAGGCAAATTTTATTTTGTCACCCTATTAAACTTATCAATGAGAAAACAAATTTTTAAGTACTTATTTAACATAACTACTAAAAAAAAAAAATCATATAAACTGTTCTAATCAAATAAATATTGTTTATAAAATATAGTGTACTCATCAATAATATCCGAATATTAAGTTTATCCACCTTGAAAGTTGTGTAAAAAATAAAGTCTAAGCAGAATAAACACATGGATAGTGCCTAGTCTCTACTCAGCCACCCTCTATTTCATAATCATAAAGAAAAATATTATTATAACTTTATCTTTCAGATAAAAAAAAGTTTTATTTTTGTACACGCAGTGTGTAATAACCAACATTTGATAAATATGCTTAGAATTAAATTAACTTTTAGATTATGAAAACGTATTACTATAAATTACAGGTAGGTAGTTTCCTCCAACTGTAAAGATTAAAAATTATCTTACAAAATCTAAGTAAACTAGTATTCTCAATAAAATATTGGCGTAAAATTGTCGCCCTGGCAACTGTCTACTTTACCTGACGCTAAATTCATCATTGAATTCTTAATCGTGATCCTATGACAGCGATTTATGGACTTCCAAAGCACAAAAGTATAAAACTTGGATAACTGTATGGAGTATAGAATATATATATATATATATATATATATATATATATATACGTTATTTACGTATATAGAAGAGGAAGAATTCATAACGCTTACAACAAATCGAACTCTCAAAATACAATTTTCCAAAATAACAATAGAAGAACTTTTGATTTTCATTCAAACCGAATTTAAAACAATTTCTAAAAAAGCAATTACAATTTTATTACAATTTTCAACATTTTATTTGTGTGAGCTTGGATTTTTAAAATTAACGAATGTCAAGACAAAGAAACGGGAAAGGCTACAAATATAGAAAAGGAAATGAGAGTAGCAATATCCTACATATGATCGGATATTGAAAATATCTGTAAAAATCATCAGGCTCAAATATCTCATACAAAATATTCCGTTTCAAATTATTAAATTTTTTTAAACTTTCTTTATTATTTTGTTATTTTGAAGTGACTAACATGTATGCAAACTGTTTTATACTATAAAGGCATTGTTAAATATACTAAAAAATTAAAACATTTATATAAATACTGTTTAATTTTACAGCTGTGTTCCGCGAAAACTGTATAAAATGTTAAGTGTTCCGTCATTCGAAAAAGGTTAAGAATTACTGCCCTAGAGCATTGTAAACGTATTACTTATAATATATTTATGTCAAATATTATTTAGATTTATTTAAACAACTAGAGCGCAGCAGATTGCTTGCTCCAGTTTGTTCTGTAATAAAAGAGTTTTTGTTAGCACCTGTGTGGCTGTCTATTTTCATTTTTCAATTGAGTTGCACTGGCGAGAGGTGACGGGACTGTTTCTATCTATTTTTGTGGTAATTCTTATCTATGTATCAGCAATAAGCATATTATTATTTAAATTTTTTATTGTTGACACTACCAAGTACCAGCTAAAATTTGTTTATTAATTATAATAACTTAAATAACAATAGCAATATAGTTATTAATAATTATATTAATTTCATAGTAATTATTGTTGGAATAATTTATACTAATTTATAAACGCCAGTTTTTCAAGCCTTCAAGGTTATTAAGGTAATGTAGTTTATAACTTGTGAGTTATGAGTTTATAGTCCATACTCCATTATTATCTCTGTAGATAATATATAGGTAAGAACATAGCCATTAAGACATATAATATATTATATTTTATTATATGTCTATGGGTAAGAAGTAGCATTTTATTTCTGTTTTACATAGTCTGTTCTGCTTTTACTGACTGTATTCAGTTTCCAAATTGGCTGACAAAATATATATATCCTATATTTTTTCATTGTTATTACATAATTACATTTACATTCTTAGTTTTACTTTAAAGGTATCCTTATATACTAATTATTACCCTCTAAGTACCTACTATCTAGGTATACATTTTTTTAATAATTATATTTACCTACATTTTATGGAAGACTCATTTTATAGGTTCTATGTGTTTATAATTATTATTATATTTTTGTTATAATTTGTTGATTAATCTCATTTAATGGTGAGATTTTGGTTTATATCACACTTGAGTATAATATACTACCTCTGTTATTATTTAATTGTGTATATTTCAACTATATTATTATCATGTATTTGTATGCCTACTTATGTTTTTACTAAATATTAAATTTGGACACATTATATAATATGCTAGTAATAATTTTTTTTGTAGATATTAATACTGTGAAGTAGGTGATTCTGGATTCAAACATGGCTAATAAACTTGATACTATTAAAGCAGCTGTGAAAGACGCACTATATGACGAATCTAAGCCCTGGGGTAAATTTTTCAATTGGGCTGAAACACAAACAGGAGTCAATAGATTAAATCTATTTATTGGTAAGAAATACTTTACATTTATTTTTTAATAAAATGTTGTTATTTATTTCATACAAAATTACTATATTATAACTACTGTTACTTATTTGTTGAAAATTGGATAATGTCGACATTAGTTGAGTAATGTGACAAGAGTCAAATGTTAATATTAGTCATCATGCATTTTTTTTAAATCTAGGATAATTTTAACATTAACCAGATATTTTTGTATTTGTCAATACATTCTGGATAGTATGCAATAACCATAATGTTTTTAATAAGAATTTCTGATAATTTATGTTATACAATTTTATTTTTATATTTATTCTTACAAGGCATGCTTCCATGGCACTTAGAATTACACAATATCATTGGAGATACACATTTACATCTATTAGTGTCACATTTAGCTTTGCATAAACACCTTTTATATACTGGATGAACTCTGCTTGATATCTTCTCTTTTTTGAATAAATCAAAAAATTTATTTTTTATTAACATGTTAGAATTCATATTTAGGTACTTCAAAAAGAACAAACCTATCTCGTCAAAATGCAAAAACTATATTGTAAACAATATCATGAAAAAATTAGTTCATCTAAGATTAGAGTCCACTAGAAATGTATTATGATAAAAATGATCTAATATTCCTGTAGTGATGTACACAAATTTAGATACTTAGGATACGCAATGAGCACTTATTAATTGTTATACGAAACTTCTTCATTCTTGAACTAACTGTTAACATTTGAATGGGACTCTGTGATTTTTGTACTATATTCTCGCTCATAAAAATATGCACTGAAAATAATACTATTAGTAGTAATTTTTGATTAGTGTTGAATAGTTTATATCATGCATAAAGATATACATTAATTATGATTTATATTAAAATGAATGCTTGAATTAACATAGTGTTAGTAAATTTTAATTTAAGTACATTAAATACCTATTGTTACTCGCCAATATAACCTACCTTCACTGTTCAACGTTCATGATCCCTTAGGTAAATTATAGATTAAATTAAATAACATCAAAATTAATTAATACATTTATTAAGTACAAATATGCATTTGATCACTTAAAATACAATATTTTTTTTACATGGCCATCATTTATTAATTAATACGGTTATTATAGAAGTAATGTAATAATACTTGATACTAAAACTACTAAATCTTGATTTTAACTAGAGATGTTCCTGGTACCCGGCAATTACTCAATTTCATATTTAAGACTTTACCTTTACTCATTACCCGTCATAATATTAAATTTTTACCAGGGCCATACTCGGTCCTAGTGTCATACCTACATTTTTACTCAACACATACGGTAACAGCCTACGCTGGTAATTTGAACATAAATATTATACATGTACATACATTATACTGTACATAATTAATATAACTGAAAAAATCTATAATTCCAAAGAAATAAATTTATTTTTGATACATTTTGGAATAACAACCAATTTTCAATAGCCTGAATCTGTTAATCTATAATCTGTTTTATACTAAAAATTTGATCTTTTGTTGATCTCATCATCAATTATTAAAGGCCATGCCTTGTCATTGGGGCCACTCCTCTCTGTTTGATGCTACATTGTTGAGTGAAATTAGGGACATACATCTATTGGGTCTAAAACCACCTTTCTAATCTTCTACTATCTCCTCAGCTTTGTAGGCCACATTCAATAAAGCTATCCCTCTGTAGTTATTACAAATTTATGGATCATCATTTTTATAAATTGGATATATTATCTAATTCTGTAGTAGTTCTTCTATATGGACTATTAATTTATGTATATTCATAACTGTATCTTCATATTTTCCCCTTGTATTCCGTCCCCTCCTGGTAACTTCTGATTCTTCAATCACATTATTTAAAACTTTATTTCTTGTTTTGACTGTACTTAGTATTCACTTAGGTTGGGTTCCGTATTTGTCCATGAAAAGGTATTTATGGGGTCATTACAATTGAGCTGTTCAAAATATATCTTTCATTTATCTATAATATCTGATTGAGTAGTAATTAGTGTTTCATTGTCACATTTAAAAATTATTCATACTTTTTATATCTTCCCTTTATTTCATTAATTTGTTGGAATACTTGACATGTGTAGTGTTCCTTTTGATTCCTTTCTGCTTCCTCTAAAATATTTTTTTCAAAAGGTTCTTTTTCGATCTCTCTAGGGATCCTGTTTTCTACCATCTAGTTTCTTGAATAGCCACGGTCTTAAGTCCATATCTCTTTACTTCTATATTACAATATGTGTTGCTCCATTATAAAATAATATGCAAATATTCCATGTACTCAAAAAAAAATTCAATTTCTGATTTCCATATTTGTTTTCTTTAGCTTCACTATTTTGAGGCATTTCGTTTAGATCCTGAACAATGATTAGTTGTATTAATTAGTATTATTATTTATTACTCTGAAAATGTTAACAATTAAAACTCAAAAATACCATCAAATATAAGTGACTAGATGACTGAATTAGTTACAATTGTTGCCAATGATTAGTTTTTAGCGGGAAAACTTTCTAGGAAAAACTTTCATGAACAATAGTTTGTTGATAACAGGCTCTCGTTACGTACCCTTTATATCTTAATTTGTAGTGGTATAGTACTTATACAGAGTGATGATTAAAACTTTTAAAATAGTTTGTGTACCCAAGAGTAAATCTATATAGTGTTAATAAAAACATTTTTAATTGTTAAATTTAACATTATCCTCAGTTGTCTAGTTTATGTTGACATAAGCTGGATAATTTTTATATTATGCAATTATAAATTAATAATTAAACATTAGATAGTTTTCAACAATAACTGTAGTATATAGATGTTTACATATATTTATTGTATATGTATTGTTATATTATAGTATGTATGAAACATTTATACTAAGAGTTATAGTCAACTTTTTGTCATTAAAATAGTTTAATCCTTCTTCATAGTATCTGTAATTGATATATATTTATTTTATATTATGATTCATTAGATAGTTATATTATCATTTAAGTAATGGTTCTTAATTGATTACCTCAATACCCTTATATATTATAATATACAATATAATGTAATATATTAACCTGTTAATGTATCTACATATCATTGTATTAAATACCTATTTAAAAATATTCATCACATAAATTATATTATATTTTTAGAACATTTTTAGTTAAAACTTAACTTTCAATTATAAAACATGAAAAATTCATATTTTTTCAAATTTTAACCATTCCATAATGTGTGTTTAAATAATTGTTTAAAATTTGTTTAGGTTTCATTGTATTTATTGTATTTTATTTATTAATTGGATATGGAACATTGTTATTGAGTAACTTGATTGGATTTGCATACCCGGCTTATAAATCAATTATAGCAGTCGAATCTACTGGAACAGAAGATGACACGAAATGGTTAACGTATTGGGTGGTTTTTTCACTAATTAATCTTGTCGAGTACCCAGCTGAAATTATTTTACAGTGGATACCTTTTTATTGTTTAATCAAAGTAAGTTTATTAAGAATTACTTTACTACTGATAATAAAAAATCAAATGAACATACTTGCTATGATGGGTGGACCATTGTTGTAGGTGAGAAGGTTGGAAAGGTAGAATTTAATGTATATTTGTAAAAAATTAATCATTGCTAACAGAAAAAGATTATGAGCGAAGTTCATTTATACATGTTGTGAAAGGCTGTAATATTTACAATTAGAAAATAATAGTTTCGTACATTTTCCCGATTACCTACAATTTTTCCCATTTATTATAAAAAAAATAACCTCCCTTTAGTGCCATCCTAGTCAGATTTCCTTTCAGAAAAAATGCTACACTTGAAAATCAGTGCAAAGTTTTTGGTAGAAAAGTTGTTCACAGATAAAATAAAACATTTATGATATGTACAATTTTTTGCACAATTAGCAAATTTGGTAATTAAATATAAATGACAAATAGACATAAACTTGTTGGAAGGAAAGCCATTCTGTGATGGGACCCTAATTATGATTTTGGTTTACACACCTAGATCAAGGAGATCATGGCACCAACGTCTTTTGTGGCAGCGAGGAGAGTTGACATGAAGAGATAATTTGGAGTGGAATTTTTTATAGTGTGCTATGATTAGATTTTCAACGGTATCTTTACAAAGATCCTTATGAAGAGAGTGATGCCAACGATATGGTGCTTGGATATATTTTTTTTAAATAGTTTGGCACCATAAGCCCAGACGGGTCTAATCATGGATTTGTATATCAGAAGCTTGTTTTTTTTTGCGGAAGATTAGAATTAAGTATTGGCCACAAGGAATGCAGTCTTGTATTTAATTACTTTATTTTTGCTTTAAGGTGGGATCCCCAGGTAAATCTTTTGTTTAAAACCATACCAAGATATCTAATACTTGTTTGTGATGGAATAGGAATTCTTTGGAATATTAGAGGTAGTAAATTTTTTTTATTAGGGTGAAAGGAACAAGAGCAGAACTCAGCTTTAATTTTTATTTTCAATCTTTGTAACCAATTTGAGAATCTAAAATTAGATTTTTAACTAAAATATTTTTACAATCTAAGCTATTTTATAAATTGTACTCAATTTTTTTTTAAATTTTAAATACTATTTTATAGAGCATATTGATTTTAATATGATGTGTGTTTTTGTATTTTTCTATAGCTCCAAATTGTTTTTCGTTATCATTGGTTTTTTGTTGATTACATTGGTTACAAGTATACATTTAATGACTTTATGTATCCCACCTTCCCCACTACCATCTATAACAATGGCCACACCCATCCCAGTATTAGCTCTTTTTTGATTTTAAATTAAAGATATTCTGTAGAAAAAAGTTATTACATTTGCCCTGTTGTATATATTATATATGTTAGTGGAAATGTAGGGTTTGAGGAAATAATGTCATTGTCAGTACATGTTATTAATTCCTATGGATAGTAGGCAATGATACATAATACTCAGTAAAATTACATGAATAGGATAAATATATAAGACGATTCACTAAGCGTGCTCATTCCATTTTTTTTTTTTGTTAAATTTGTTGAATTTTTAAGTGTAGTTAAAGCCGATAATTTCGAATACTTAGATTTTACACAACATTTATGGAGTATCATGTAATTATATCAACTTTGGTTTTTCAAATGAGAACCTATATATTAAGAATTCTATAAATGTACGGAGTATTGCTAAAAAATTTAATTTTACCCGTTTTCGAGATTCCACTTTTTAGTTTAGGTAGTGTAAGAGTAGTGATTTATGTGAAAGCACGGCATGTGAAGTTTTATTAGTGCTCTACTACTCTCCCCCTACCTAAACTTAAAAGTGGAATATCTTGTTAACAAGTAGATGGAAACCAAAATTTACTTAAACTAATACTCCGTTTATTTACGGAATTTTGAATGTATGTTTTCATTTGAAAAAACAAAGTTGGTATCACCGCAGGATATTCTTTGAATGTTATGAAAAATCTAAATATTCGGAAATATCAGTTTTAACTACACTTAAAAATTCCAAAAATCAGAATTTGAATTTTTGAAAAATTTAACTAAAAAAATTTGGTGAGCACGCTTAATGAATTACCCTATATAATTTGTAAAACAAATATTGTACCTTACATTTCCTACCAAATATTATTGAAATCAAGTATATTTTATTTTCATTAATCAATGAAATGTTAATTATAGTTTTTTAAATATTGAACTATTAGATATTTTTTTTTTTTACCAATTGGTCCTATGCCTAAATGAGTTGGAAAGTGATGTCTGATAACATCGACTTTATTTTTATGACGACACCCTAATTTAGATTCATAAAAATGACAACACACTTAAAACAATTAAAGAAATTAAAATGTTCACACAACGTTCATGGTAATTATGACTAAGAACATGCTTATTTACGTACAAATAAACAACTTTTTTAGCGACACGGGTTGAGAACCACTGTAATAAAGTATAGAACTTACAACAAAAGCTTTATTTGTTTTAAAAAAATATAGAATTTACACTGTAGTGTGGATTTGACACTTACACATTTGATGATATATCTGGTGTGAGTAATGTATTTTTTGTTAAAAATTTAGTAAAAAGTGTAAATTCTATTAAACAAATTGTACAATTTTGGTTAAAATGTACATAGCTAATTCCTTGACAATGATATAATTTCCTTACTGTATTAGGAATTACCACCATTTCCTAAACTGTCAACATTTCTGGTAACATACTTACAAAACTAAACACTGCAGTATATCTAACTTAAAAATATATAATTCTAACATTTTATTTTCAGACCCTATTTTTTGTGTGGTGTTTTATTCCAATTCATAACAACGGTTCTGTAGTTATTTACAATAAATTTGTACGTCCTTATTTTTTAAAACATCAAGAAGGCATTGAAAAAACAGTAAATGACTTGTCTAAGAAAGGTAAATATAGTTTTAATCTATTAAAAACATAAAAAAACAATAGCATTAATTTTTTTTTTTTTTAAATGTATATATAATTTATTGGAAAATTAAGTTGCTAAGCTGATTTATTTTTAGTTATTCTATATAAGTTTTAATTGGTGTTTATACTTTATTTATTAGATTAGTTTCTATGAAAATATTAATTAAGCTCTTTAAATTTTGAATTTTGATATGCATAATGTATAATATATATTCTCATGTTTTTATTAATCATCAATATTTAGTATAATTATTTAAATACTATTTTAAATTAAATGTAATCCGCTATTGTTTGTAATGTCATGCTATAATAAACAACTACCTATTATAATTTATATATTTTAAAATTTTGTTACAGCTACTGAAGTTGCATTTGAGAAACTAGTTGCAGAAAAAGCCAAGTAAATTAAATGGCTAATGGGTGGAGTATATGTAACATTTAGGTTTGCATATTTACAATTTTTAAAAAAGGTAGGTCATTTATGATATTATAAACTTAATTCAATTTTGCTTTAAGTAATACAATAAGGAATAAGTATTAGATATTTAATGTACATATATAATTTACCATTTTGTATATAATATAAACTTATAACATTGGCGTAACTATACTATATTCAACAATGCCCGGTTTTTCAATAATACATTTATTTGTTAGATAATTATTCATCAAATTTATTTGGCAAGTAACTAAGATATTTCTTTAATACTGATATTTATTCGGTAGATAATAGTAATGATTATTGTACTTAGTAATAGTGTATAATTGTGAAGCATGTTGCAATCATTATCTTGATTATGATTGGTCGAAATCATTATCAGTAATAGAAAATGTATGATAGGTAATCATTGTATTTTTGTGCATTGTTTTTCGCAGTCGTTAAATTCAAACTTTTCAAAAATAAACACATAAATATATAATACATTGAAGAGAATTAGGTAGTCTAATTTTTCATTTATTAAAAAACTTTATTGAAATATGCATCAGAAAATAGAAATATGTTGAAAAACAATCTAATAATGATTTATGGAAAAAAATTATTAAGGACTTAAATTCAAAAGAATATATTTACTCACTTATGCTTCCTAAACTTAAAAGGACTACTTATTTTACATCCTAAATCTGTCTTTAAAATCTAGGTCATCCCAAGCTATCTTATGATTTGAACACAAATATGGTATATTATTAGTATTAGTAATTTTAAAAATCCAATGTTTTCAAATATTTCAAATAAATCCATTATAAATGGAGTATAATAAACTAATATATGCAATCAAATATTAACTAGGTACAGAACAATGGTCAGTTAACAAAGAAAATAATGAATTCAATTATTAAAAATCGATAATAAACTATTATCATTGATTGTTATCAATTGTCAGACTTATCAGATAAATTCTTATTTGGTAAAAATAGTACTGAATGTGTTAATCGGCACTAAATTCATCGAATAGCCTTATTCCAACATTAGGAAATTGATAATTGTCAACTTTTTCTTATTTATTGAACTTGTGTTATTTAACGAATAAATGTTATTGAAAAATTACGGGTCTTAAGAGTACTCAGGTTCACGCATACACAACTGAGCGCAGAATGTTGCCGGACCTCCTAATTGATCTGAAATAATCATTACGGTTCGTACGCCGCCACCGTACTTCCTGTGTGCCGTGGTTGTCGCCACCACCACTTAGTATACAGCGAGTCATAATATCTATATATCTATCACCAAATAAATCATCGTAATATACATACATATACTGTTTAAATCAATCTAATGGGAAGCATGCCAAAATTAAGTTTCTTGAAACGTAAATTGTAACGTTTATTCAAATTAAAACAAAGCTTTTGTTCGAGAAAATACGGGTACGCTGTGTAAGACCATTAAAACTAATCGTTATCGATATTTTATTCGCTAAGTATGTTGTGTACCATTTATACCATGTTTTCGTCCTCTGCCCAGTGTACTCTTAAGTTGTGTAAAATATTGACTTCTTTATTATGGAATATACTCAAGATAAAATGTACATACAAATTTATCTAATTCTCACAAAATGTTAATTTGGAACTAAAGATTCTTAGTGAATCTTCAAGTTACGCCAATGTGTTAGATGTTGGTAACTTAATATTCTCGAGAACTCTAGAATATTAGGTAGTAGTTTAGATTCACTTCAATCAAAACTTTGATGTGTTTACACTAAATTCATAAAGCTATGTAAGTATAGTTTAAGATTATTAGTATTAACTAAATGCCCAGTTTAATATTGATATTGTATTGGTTTTACAATGTGTTTATTTTTTTTATTATATTAAAATTAAAGAAAAATACATTTTTAACTTTCACTATTTTAATTCAGATATTATATTAGAGAAATTTAATAACATAATATAAAAAATTAATATTTTTTTAGAGATTAAAAAATATTCAATATTATTCATAAATAACACACTGCATGCGTAACAAATTATAAATGTAAATATTTTGTTAAAAAAAAAAAATATATATATATATGGATATCTTTATAATTTGGGTATGTATACTAATAATTGGGCATTGGGTAATTCTTACAATATCCTGTAAAGTGTGTGTCACTGTTGGTTAACAGACAGAATTTTGACAGTTTGCATTAGAAACAACTGCCAGTTAATGATAAAGAACATTTTACGGGTCATTGTAAGAATGGCCTTTAAAGTTAAAATAATAACATGGGTTATTATGGATGCATGTAGAAACCCAGAAAATAATTGTACAAATTGTAGGATTTTAGATCTTAAATAATCAGACAATATTTTCATAGACTCAAGAAACCCATAGAACCTCAAGAATTTCATAAACCCTATAATTCTGACCGCGATTCACCAGAAATAATAGGTAGACTGTATAGTCCCCAATCATTGGATTACAAAAAAATGATTATATTGTATAATGTAATATATTATGATAATTATTACATATACTCACTCAACCAGACCAGATCACTCACTGACTGTGGACTGTTAAAAAAGAATAGATCCTTCAAATTTTAAGCAAATTGTGCAAAACTACCTCACTCCCATGTAGATTACAGGGAACTATCTTATTTATGAAATTCTAAATGCTTTTTACAGCCTATGAGTATACAGTTTATATATTTTATTTTCCGCAAAACTGAAGCCTCTGGTATACTAGTATTACTGTTAACTATTTGTTTTTTTTCCAAAATTTTACGTTTAATACAATAACACTTTAATTCCAGAATTATATGGTCTGTGAAATTACGTATTAGTATTATTATTAAGCTGCACATTTTTTTATTATCTACTAACTAATTATAATATATCAGTAACATTTAACCAAAGCTGGTTTTTATAATATATAACCTAATATTTTAAAATGAGATTTTACTATTTCAGTATTCTTTTATTATAATATTTCTTAGCTAATTGTTTTGAATTTATATTTTTCAGGTATATACAAGAACTTCATTCATTTTATAAATAACTTGATCTTTTGTTATTATTTATTAATAATATTAATGCACATGTTAAGTGAATCTTATATGTATACATTTTATCATATTTAAGTTTAATATCAAAAAAAAAATTTTCATAACAATTTTTAAATAAAAGAAAGCAATACTAATCAATTATTTGTCTTCATTTTAGTTTCTGAGCGAAGCGAGGAATATATTGATTTAAAATGGTATTTTTTTTATCTATGAACTATTATTACCAGAAACTTTGCTCTAATTTTCTAAATGTATCACCTTTTCTTAAAGGAAATTATATCTGGGCAGTGGTGGATTTACGAAGCGGCCCCGGACCCCCCCCCCGATAATCACTATTAATAGAGATACCTTTTAAATACTCATGAATTTTCAGGACCCTTCACAGAAAAATGTTGAAAATCCACTACTGTATCTAGATGGTACTCCAAAGAGACTATTATTTGATTTTCTTAGGGGTTTTCATAATAATGTGAGAAAAACAAGTATAAATGGACAAATCTCTACATTGTGGCTATTTCATGATTTTATATATTTGTAACTTGCGTTTTCTCCCAGGAATGTTGCTTCAGTCATAAAATGACTGGAGACTTTTATTGCTCCATTTTGAACTTGGGTCCTCTCGAAGACGTTAATTTTTTGATTTTCTAAGCAGTTTTCATGATAATTGCAAATAACTAAAAGAAAAAAAAAAACAAAAAATGAAAACTATTAAAAGTCGCGATTCTTATAATTTAACTTTTTAACTGATAATGTTTTAATATTACTACTGTAAAAACAAATGATCATTGTTATTGAATTTTTCATATAGTTTGTTATTAAGAATGTCGTATTTTGATTTTCCGTGTAGTTTTTTTAATAATGGAGCTAAACCGTAAAAAACAGCAAGAACGTGAAAATTTACTAAGATAATGCTTTAATTTTTTTTTTTTTTTTTTTTTGAGATTCAGTTAAAAATATTTTTGGAAACTTTAAATTCGCACAGAAAGCCTATATTTGACGCAATCATATTTTTAAAACATTTAAGTCATTTTTAAGCTATTTATAGACATTTTAATTTTCCAAATAGTTATTTACGTAATTTTATTCGGTGGACACTGTGTGTATAAAACTATTGGACCAAACAGAAATGTTTGAAAATTCAACTAAAAGTTCATTATATCGTACTTTGTGGTAAAAAAGAAAATTATTTTAGGTAGTGTAAATTTTTTTTAAGAATTTTAATATCATATTTTGACGAAAATTGTATTATTACGGACTTTAAAAATATGTATAATCGAACTTCGCTCAGAATCGTTTTTCTTTTAGCAATGATTAATCTTGCATACGGATATACATTAAATTTCTCTCTATATTCTACCCTCACCTAACGCCTCTCACCTAACCTATAACAATGGTCCACCTATCGTTCGAAGTATGTTCGTTTTTGAAATTGATCGAGTATGAATAACCAAGTACGGTAAAATGTATCTTACAATATAATATTTAATAATTTTAGCACATTGTACTTGTCGCTGTAAATCCTGACGGTTATGTGGAAGGAATTTAACGGCGTGACGAGCGTTCACATAGCATTCTTTCGGTACCTTTCTCTTGTGGACCGGACTATAAAACATTTGTGAGCTAGCCGCGATATATTATTTACTAATTACTAATTTGTTATTAGCTGGTAATATTTACGAATTTGTTTTTATCCATAAGATTTTCATTGTTCTCTACCAGTTAGATTAATATTACTATGATTGTAGCGACAACGTTGGCTATAATACAGTCACCGCAATGCGCGAACATTCTGGAATATTTTTCACTCAATATAATATAATTCTAAATTATTATCGCAGCACATAAAAGAATTTACTAACATGTCTAAACATATTTTGGAAAATTGTGATACTTCATCTTGAGGGCCATCAAATTATCCGAGGAACATCCAACCAGAGGATTGGTAAGCGTGGTCGAAACGGATCAACAGAGATATAAATATTATTTATTATTATAAACTAGTATGTGAAAAAGCAACTTTGCACTATGTGAAAAAGAAACTTTGCACTATGTGAAGTCCGAGGACAGCAAATTAAAACCTTAGACATAATTATCATAGAATAGACCATGAATGATATAAAATTTGTGATGCTAACACAAACACTGCACCTATCTGCATCATATATCTGTGTTCTAATATGACTATATCAGTAGTGTACCTAAATCTTTTTTATGGTGAGGGGATATATTTTCATCTACTCTTAAAATAAAAAATTTATTAAAAAAGTAACGTCAAAGTTACAACAGTTTTATTAGTAGTCACAAATCCGTGACGCCACGCGCAATGTTAAAAATCACCTTAATCAGCAAACAGACAGTCGCTAACGAATTTTAGTTTTGTAGTTGGTTAATTCGTTAACTTACATGTGCAAATCTCTTTGTTATAACCTTATGTGATGTGTAGACTTATAAGTTGTTTTTTTTTTTTTTATTATTTCAAAATACCTTGGTGATATAGCGTAAATAAATTTACTTCAGAGTACTTTATTCAAAACTCTGAAAGTCAATATTATTTAAACAGCTTGTAACTGTCTTAACCATTTTATTTTATTTGGTTTAATTTAAATTATTATGCATATTATTTTGTAAATAACATTACAATAATTATTTGTATGGTCAATATATTATGTACAATGTTTGTATGAAACTGATTACCTATTTTGAATCTTCGAAGTAGGTATAAGTTCAAAATACATTACCTATTCTATATTATTATCATTTTTATGTTATTAATATAATACTAACACAAAATCATTCACAGTGGCGTACACCGGATTTTTCAATGGGGGGGAGAGAGAGCTTGAAAATTAATATTTAATCAGTTTTTTTGTCACAAGTTTGAAAAATCAAGCATTCTTAATTTTGACTGATATTGAAAATAAAATATATACAAAAAAGTGAAAAAAAAACCTAGTATTTATTTACATGAAGTTAAAGATATAAAGTTACGTTGTTTTTTTTTATTTGAAAAAGTGTAATTTGAGTTGCCTATACATAGATTAAGGAATAATGTACAAAACAAAAATACTCAATAGTTATAAATTTAACACTAAATAGCACAAGTGTGTCTCATTAAGATCATAAATCTATAATATATTATATGCCTATGATTAGGATACATCTAAATAACTTAACTATTCTGTTATATAACAGCTAAACTAATAAAATTACAGAGATCAATTGTTTATCATTTATCATTAGTGTTATCAATTATCGTTTATCATTGTTTGGTAAATAATTCACATTATATTTTCGTTATTAAACCACGGCCTAAGGGCAAGCAACCATTGAATATATTCATTGTAAATTATATAATTAATAATTATTATTATTATTAACATTACCATTATTTGAATTTAAAAAGTATGCATTTTGATGCAGTAATTTAAATATTTGTGTGTCAAAATAATCTTTAAGTACATTTTCATGTGACGTAAAAAACTGTCACGAAATATCTTCGTGCGATTTGTTTTGACTTTTATTTCATGCAAGCATAGAGCGGTAAATTCTCATTGCATGTTTTCGGTCGCGACCATCGCTCATGTTGATAAAAATGTTATTAATAAATAATTTAAGAAATTCTGACCAACCGAAATAACTAGATAAACTACAATAAGCATAATTATATTACACGACTTTTTTTTGGAGATTGAGGTGGGACTACGAATTTTAATATATCTAATAATAATAATCGGTCCGACCTTGGCACAATACATTTTCAGAATCGGTACTTGACATGAACAAAAAGTTTTGGAAAAATACCCCATATTTCATAATTTAATTGGTCGTCTTTTATTGAATTATTAATCAGTTGTGTAGCACTCACAATTTTTCGGCTGTTCAAACTTGGACGAACCCACCATTTCTTTTTTTTTTTTTGAAACACGAATCATTATGTCACTTGTAATATATAATAATGCAGGTGCGCAAACTACATTTTATTCGGTAGACATTTCAAAACAAACTAATAATATTGCCGTGAAAACGCCGCCTGTCGTGTAGACATGATCATGTCACGCGGCAAAATAATACCCCGAGTAGAATAGCCTTTAGATCGTAAAATTTCAACTTTCAACAGATAAATTCATCAGTAACAATAGCTTAGATATAATTGTATGTAGATACCTATTTGGATTTTTATCAATGAAGTTTATTGAGGGGACGCAAATACAGTACGAACATATTTTATTAGAATGATGTTTTATCAGAAAAACCTATTCATAGACCTAATAACTAAGTTATTGGGTTTATGATTAGAATTACGATATAATAATATCATGATTAGAATGATATTTTATCAGAAAAATAAATAATCCGAAAAATATTTACGTCGAACCGTATTTTAGAAGAAAAATATTTATCCGAATAGTATTTGTATAGAAAAATATTTTATGGGAAAGTATGTTATCAAAATAATTTTAGGTACGAAAAAATTTTGTTGGAACCGTATTTCTGTAGAAAATATCTATAAACCTTTACTGTGGCCATAGATATATTTATATCTATAGCCATGCTGTCGCTTGCCTTTTCAACACTGCGCTCTATTTGTATTTAATATAGTTAATTTTCTAAGTAAATACGGTTTTAATAAATTATTTTTCGACAAATTTATTTGCGGACAAACACTTCTAATAAAATATTTTTCTGTTCAAATAGTTTTCGTAAATACATTATTTTCTACCGAATTATATTCGAACAAAATATAGGTCACCATTGGTTTCTCTACTACGGAGTACGGTTGTATAATATATACTTAAAAATATCAGGTTCATAGCCCTCATTTCTCAATGTTCAATGTTCATTAATTACATAAATTAAGATTGATAGCTATTGATAGGTACCTATCGATAAGTCACTAAAGCTGTAACCCTTGTTTTATCAGTTGAATGCAAATATGAAATAATGTTTATAATAGTAGGTAGTATTATTCTTATTTACTGAATTTTTCATTTATATGATACTTATAGTTTTATAAAACAAATCGTCGATAGAAAATTCGACCACCATTGTCAGCATAAAAGGTCTATGTAACCACAAATGTTATCATTTCTTAAAAAGTTTCTAGTGAAACTATGAAATTAGAAATATTCATATGGAGAGAAATTTGCATTCCAAAAAATTTTACCACCCCTGTAGTAAATGTAGTATTATATATTATTTTTTGAAACCGTTTTATTTTTATGAAAAGGCTGTGTTTACGAAACAAGGGGAATTTATGTTCGAAAAATTTGTTTTAAATTTATTCATAGTTTTGATAAAACACTACAATTTTTGTAATAATCTTATTTTTGTTTATTATTTAAATGTGTAAGTATTGATTTGATTAATTAAAATTTTTGTATACAAATAATAATACATTTTAATTACAAAATTGAAGGAAAAGATAAACATATATTAGTATCAGCATATGAAACAAATATTTTAGTGAATTCAATGAGTAATAATTTTTTTTGAGGAAATTTTAATAATCGGCACAGTTCTAAAGCAAAATTAATCAAATTACTCATCTTTAAAATATTTGACATTATGAGTCATTAATAAACATATTTAAGAAGACTAATGTAACTTTTAAACTGTTTAAACTAAAGTATAAATTTGTATCATTTCAGTCATCTCGTTATTATGAAACATTCGTTTTAATAACCATAATACTTAATTTTAATTTCACTAACCGACAAAAATTGAATTTTTAGGGAATGAAGAAACAATAAAACTCTCTACTCATATTATATTAACTTTGAAAACCCTAAAATAATTACACTAACCCAACAAAGCAACTTACTAAATAAATGTTATAGCAATATAATAAATTATAGCTATCTACTCTAAATATTTAAATTTACCAAATACTATGTACAATGACACATAACAAAATTAACAAACAATTACAAAAACACTAATACTAACTATGAACTACTTAAACTAAAAATGAATTACATAAAAAACATTACCGTAAACATAATAAAAGACCAACTTAACATTGATCCAACTAACCTCAACAATAACTTTAACCTGACATTGACTAACTATAGACAACATTTGATGAATTTAACTTACTATGTATAAAATCACAAACTTTTAAAAATTACGAATTTCAACTGCAACTCATCAATGATGATAACACTTGTATCAAAAAAAAAGGAAAAAATTACATTTCACAACAGCAAAATTGTATAAAAAGTATTAAGTAACAGTATTAGTAACTTATATTACTTTTTTATTTTAGGTACAAAGGTGTTGGTGATTGAAAAATCTATCATCGAGAAATTAAAAAATATATAAATTATAAATATTACAAATAAATAAAAACGGACTGACTTGATTTTTTTTTTAAATAAAAATTTTCATTTTAATTATATATTTTTTTGAATAGATTAATAAAACAAGCTTATACAGTTAGGAAACTTTCCTGTTTTTTTTTTTTATTATTTTATATTACAAGTTAATAAAATGTATGTAGTTTTTATTATTATAAAATAAACCACATTGTATATAATTATGTTACAAAGAACGATTTTCCACTACAATTGCCACCAGCAGTACACGGTGACTTAAAAATTCACAGAAAATCGAAAAAGCGTCCGATATTCATAAAATTTACATGAATGCCTTTGTCTTGATGTATTCTATATCCTGTACGAGTTTTATAGCTTAAAATTAAAAATTAAACCGACGAGTGTCGATTTACAGCGAAAAAGCGTTCCGAGTAGATTCTTGCGAGTTACTGTGTCAAGGCGTAATTAGACCCCGGTTTTCCAAGTTTGGGCGCTATCCATTACGAAAATGTGCCATCTCATAGATGGCACATTTTCATTCCTCATTCCTTGGGAATGCACCAGTACCGTTTTCGACGCTGTCGGTTGAAAATTCGATTTATTATGAATTTTTCTGTTATTACACAAATAGAAAATATTCAAAATATGGTCGTGTAATTAATTTTTGTTATTTTAAAATTACTTTGGAATTATATCTCAAGATTTCCACGTTCTTTCAAATTTTTCAATTTTTGTTCAAGAATTAAGATATCGATTATTATCAACGTTCAAAGTTTTCCATAATCATATAATATGTAAATATACCTACATAATATTCTATTCTATTATATGTCTATGTAGTTTTCTCATTCAACCTCTTCTCATTAACAACAATGATAAGAAAATTACAAGTTGATAACCAGTAGAATTACGGGCTTTTTTGCTGTAGCCTGAAATTTACCAAAGTATAAAGTTATTGACTGAAATATGTCCAGTTATTTTACTTTCGGCTTAAATATTTTCTGATTCATGTTGGGCTTAAATACGATTAGTTAAAATATTTTCGGCTAAAATACGGTTCGGCTGTTTTACAGTTTTCATTCAATTCTATATTTCTATTATCATTGTTTATCAATGTATCACTAATTCTGTATAACTACATAAACGTGTTTTAATATTTAAAAATTATAAACGTCTTATAAAATTTTAAGATTTCACATGTTATATTTATTTAGTATCAAATTTTAGAAACATTTATTTTTCAAAATGTTAGCATTTAGATGTGGATTGCGAATATTAAATAAGTTAGGATCTTGTACGAAGAGTATAGCTGAAATATCGATACATGCATTGAAGTTGAATAAACAAGGAACTATAGTTAGTAGATATTATTGTATTAAATCAGAGGAATCTTTGGTTACCTTAAATAATGAATCAAATTCAGTAAAACCATTTGAAAATATTGATTATGACTCAATTACTGAAGGTGACGAAGAAAAGTTGACAAAATTAAAACGTCTAATACTTGAGATTGATCTACTTTATGAGAGTGGTGAACAAATACCAAACCATTTAAGAGTAGACCAATGGAAGAACTTGTTGCAATTAAATAGTCGATCATCCCGGATGAAACATTTAAGGTATTTATTTTTAATTGAAAAAAAAAAAGAAAATCGTATTGTACGTAAATTAGAAAAAAGAGCTGAACGCTTAGAACTATATGAAAATCAACCCAAAAATGATCACATTGAATATGGATTATTGAGAAATAGTATGTTCCACAGAATTTATGAAAAACAAATAAATTCTCTTTACAATTACCGCTTATGTGAAGCTATGTTGTTTGGGCAAGATATTGTAATTGATTGTGGTTATGATGGACACATGTCTCTTAAAGAAAGAACAAATTGTGCTAAGCAATTACTTTTGATGTGGTCTTATAATCGTATGCACAAGGATCCGTTTAACATTATATTTTGTAATATTAATAAAGAAGATACTGTTTTCAAATCTTTATCAAAAACAATACCAACTATTGACGAACCAACATTTCCAATTAACTACACACATAAAAGTTACTTAGAACTATATCCAAGAGAAAAGCTTGTGTATTTAACTCCTCATTGTAATACAGAACTTAAACAGTATAATCATGACGATGTATATATTATTGGTAAAAAAATAAATAATAATATTTATGATTAAATAAAATAATAATAATTTTCATATTTTAAGGAGCAATGGTTGACAAAATGAAAGTTGAACCATTATCATTAGCAAAAGCAAAACGAGATAAAATAAGAATGGCGAAATTACCTCTTGATTCATATTTAGATTGGAAACAAGGAACTAAAAACTTAACTATTAATCAAGTAAGTTCATTAAATTTAATATAAAGTTTTTATGTAAATCTTTACTACTATATTTATGGGTTTAGTGAACTTGGGGATTTAAGCTTTAAGCTTATATTTATAGAAAGTCCAGGTGGGTGATTTCAATAGAATATGGTATTGTTTCTGTAGGGCGGAGGAATTCACCTTATAGTTGATAATGTCATTCTCTCTGTGGGAGGGGCTTAGAATACTGGGTTATGTCTTTGATTGCTCCTTTTGTTATTACGTAACCAAAAAAGTTCCTAAAGTGTGTCAAAATAATTAATATTTTAGGTATACTGATAGATTTTTTTTTAAATATCAATTATATGAAATGTGCGTTTTTAATGTTATTTTTAGATGCTTATGATAATGGTAGACCTAAAAATGGATAATAATTGGGCTAATGCTTTAAAACATATACCAAGAAGAAAACTTTTAGAAATTGATGCTTATCAAAGAGAACTTACTGGAAATAATCAAAAGTTGTCAGCAAAACAAATCAGAGAAGATTTTAGAAGGAATTCTGTATACAAATTATTAATTAAAAAGTAAAATTGTTAGTTGAATTTATTAATTTATACATTTTAAGTTTGATTCATAACATTATTGTGAACTTTAAAAATAAATATATCTTTTAAAAATTTGGGTTGACTGAAGACATTTTTTATTTCCCCTTTTGTTTTTTGGAAACTTCTAAAAATATTTTTATTTATTTCTTTTTTAACTGGTATAAAAACTTGTTTAAAATTTATGAAAATTAGTGTAAAAAACATAGCCTAATTAAACCTAATTCAAATTGAGGTTTTAGAGTCCACTATGAATAGTTAGTAAAACACTATTGTTACCAATGTATTTAATGTATGATGCCATACCAATTTATACTTCAATAATTGATATTAACAATAACCTACATAAGATAATATTTTGTTGATTTGTGACTAACTATCATTTATTATTTAGTGAATATAAACTAATTGATAACAATTTACACACATAACATAAATTAACATTCAGATTGTCATTTTGTATGTTTTTGAATATATTTATTTATTAAGATAAATTATAGAATTTGCCTATTATGTCTATGCAATAAGTCATTACAACTCTGGTTTAATGAGCTTAAAAGTTTAACTTTGGAATTTAATCATTAATTAGATTTAAAGTAAATTCAATGTGAAATGGTTTATTTATTAAATACATTTCTATTAAACTATGTAAATAATTCACTTTCAATACTTAAGTCAATTATTAAAATCACATTTAAATAAGAATATGAACAAATAAAATATTTTCGCTCATTCCACTATTTTATATTAAATAAAACGTTTCTGAATAGTTTTTCTTATAACTAATCAATACATGTATATAATTAATAGTCCAATTTAAACATAATGTATAAACTTTTGTATGATAAAGAAAAGTTTAAATATATAAAATACTAATACATAAATATACAATAATTTTATTCAAAATTAGGTAACTATACACAATATTTATGGTAACTAACATAATATGACAGTATAACTTAATTTTAATACATATTTTTGATTTTAATGTTGTACAACATAATATATGAAATACATAAAATAGGTACATTAATTAACAACTATTTTAAGAAACACATAACTACTGAGTTTAATAAAAAAAAATTAACTTTTGATGTTAATAGGTAAATATACAGTCTTAAAGAATCATTATTTCATTTACGAATAACATAAATTATTATAATATTGTAAAATACTATATAAAACTTTGCATAATTAAATATAAATGTGATTTATTTTGTTTGTTAACAATGTTAATAAGTATTTTATTTTAGTTGAAGCATTATTTCAATATAGCTAATTGGTTTAATACTTGATTAAAAATCAAAATGAAAATTTGTATTCATAAAGAGTTTTATAATAATAAACATGTAAAAGTAATTTACAGAAATAAGTAATAACTAGAGCATTTAATCACAAGCGTTGTGAAATATTTATTATATATTTACTAAGCATGTGAAAAAGTTAACCAGATAAAAAGAAATAAAAATGCATTAAAGTGCTGACTGGTAATAACTAATGATTACTTTATTATTATTATTAAATTTATTTATTTATTTAAAAAAAAAAAACCGAATTTAAAACTATTGTATTTTATAATATTGATAATATTTTAATTACCATTTAATAAAATAATATTTGTGATTTTCAAAATATGATAATTATTTTAAAATAAAATCTTTGTTTTCTAACACAGTGGAAGTGGTCAGCAACCTTTTTGCTCTCTAAGATCAAAAGATCAAATTCAAAAATTAAAATTTGATAGTTTTATTTTAAATTTGTTTAATTAAGAAAGTGTGATACTTGAATATGTTATCTTCATTTTACAAATGTATGACATTTCATCAGAGACAATATTACTATTCGTTTTAATATTAGATGTAATTAACCTGATATAAAACTTCAAAATAAAATCATTATTGTTTAACATTTGCATTATTTTTTTGATATTTTTTTTTTAAGAGAGATATGAGTATATGAAATACAATAATTTAATAATGGTTGTATTATCTCATTTGAAAATTAAAACGTAGAAAAAATAGTGCCAATGTTGCATAGATTATGTTCTTATCTCTTGTTTGATAATAGGTTAATTCCCTCTAATATTAAAACTTATAGTACCAAGTTGACTCTAGTAAATACAATTTTGCTATAATGTACGTTTGCAATGTAGATATAGCACATGCACTCAACACTTTCTCTCAATATGTTAATATTTTACATGAAAATTTAGAAATCACAACTGTATTTTGTAACATACAAAAACAAATAGTATGCTTAAAGACTAATCTTGTTTTTGTGTTTGAATACAGTTCACAATTTTTTCAATATCCAAATCAAAATTACTTGTATGCGCTCTATGCACATGGTGGAAATAGTCACCTGTTTAGAGTGATCTGTGTGAGTTTTCAATTTTTTCATATAAGAAATGTAGGTCCAAATATACTGTGGTAATTTGAAACTATATTTCTAATTATTTAAAATATAGAGTAAGTTCAGCAAACAAATATAAAGGCTATTGTTTAAAAAGGTTTTTATGAATATCTTATATTATAAATCCATTATTTCCAATTGAGACTTAAACAGGTATATTGTCAATATCAAATGGGTTGACAAGTAATTTAAAATATTGTGCACATAATTTTAAATGTTAAAAGAAATTATTAAATTTGTATTGAAGTTTCAAGATAATGAATTTAATAAATTTATGACAAATGGGGCATATAACTTTTTCTTTATTTCGATACCTAACAAAGGATTCTTTTTATAGAATGGGTAAATTAATAAATATAAATATGATACACTTGTACAGAGCGGGCAATATAAAATAGATGTGGGGAGCATTGGTTTTCAACCACTATATTAAGGTAATTGTCATTTTCACTTCACTTATTAAAAGTTTTACTGACTCAAATATTTAATATTTTTGAAAAATAATATTTAATAAGTTAGTTAATTTTTTTCATTTTTTACTTAGATTATTTACTGATAAAAATAGACTATTTTATACCATAAATGTGATGCATTTATTCATTAAAATAGTTTATTATTTTATTTGAATATATAATATTGTAAGATAATGTAGAATAATTTTTTATTTATATTTTTATTTTTATTTATAATTGTTATTTTTAGTTTAAAATGGATTTTTTCCTAACAAATATAAGTGTGCATTGTAAATTATAATTGTATTTTTTTTTAGCCTCTCAATTAAATTATTTAGTTTTGTAAGTATACTTAAGCATTTTTTAGGGTCTAGTTTTCAAACAATTTTAGTTTTAATTGTAAATAAATTAGGAACACACTACATAATTATATTAACTTAAATAAAATAAATAATCATTGGCAACATAAAGACTAGATTTGTAGAAAAAGCAATAGTATAATATGAGTTAAAATTAAGTACTATTTACTTTAATTAAACAACAGCATTGATTACAGCTTTGAGTCTTTTGGTAATATGACCCTGAACATGTTTTTGTAAATGATCACGGCGGTAAAATGCTTTCCCGCACTCAACACAAACATGTGCTTTTTCTCCAGAATGTACAATATAATGCCGAGCCAAGTGTTCATTACGCTTAAATGTTTTTGGACATGCTGCACAAGTATATGGTCTTTGGTCACTATGACTTAATTGGTGTCTATCTAAGTGCTCTTTACGTTTTAAACCAGCACCACATTCTATACATATAAATCTACGTTCAACCTAAAGATCTATTTATATTAGACATATCGGAACATAAAAAATAATATAAATATTTTACCTTATGATTGGCTAGGTGATGTTCTAAAACAGTTTTATCAGTATATGCCATTAAACATTCAGAGCAGCAGTATAATCGAGAACCATCAGGTGATGTAACTATTCTAACATCTCCCAATCCTTGTCTTCGTTTTCCTTCTTGTGGAGGAGACAACTAGTTATATAGAAAATTAAATTTTAATTAGAAATATTTTTTGACTAACATTTTAACCATGGCAAATTAAATTAAATTAACATATATAGTTTACCTTAAGAAATTCTCTTAGGCTTGTAAGGTATTCAGCAACTTTATTACCAGATTGTACAGCAGCAAAACCTTCCCACTGACCAAGCCTTTCTTGTTCTTCTATAGTTAGTGGATCGGTCATAGTAGATACATCTACTGATATTCTTGCTTTGACTTCTACTACTTGTGAGCGCCCAGAATTTTTATAAGAATTTGATTTAGAAGATAACTGAGTTTCAACATGTCTATAGTTGTCATAAAACTCATTCTTCTCGTGATTTTTGAAAAAATCTATATTCCCATTAAAATTACTATCTAATTTCAATGTGTTTTGTAGATCTAAATGCTTAGGATCAAATATGTTACTTGATTGGTACCTAAAAATATAATTCATATATTTAATTTGTATTTTGTATTATATATATGAAAAAGTACTAAAAATCTGTTTGATGTCACTTACCTGACATCATTAACCATTTGAGGAAAAACAATGCGATCAACAATAGACGGTGTTGTTGGATGATGAAAACGGGAGTTTTGATTTGCTTGATTAAAATGATTTTGATGCATTGTGTTTAGTGAGGTAATATTAAACTGATTTAAATAATTCATAATTCGATAAAAACCATTGCATTTTAAAGAAAAAGATAAATAATTAAATCATAAATTCTTTTTTTTTTTTTAAATATGAAAACAATTTTAATGATTTTTAAATTTTAATCCAAGTATTTTCATGTTTTTGGTACTTAAAATATAAACATAAACAAATTTAATTAAAAATTATTATCTAGTGAGAAAATAACATAATAAAATATAGATACAATAAACAATTATAAAACGATCACACAGAATAATAATTTTTTAAAATATACATATTCATTTTATTTAAATCTAATTATATTTTGTTATTATCACGAAACACGTACTAAAAAAAAAAAAATAAACATATATTTTAATATTATCAATATATAGATAGCACGATAAACTTATTAAAAAAAAAAAATCAATGAAAAAACTACAAATATCTTCCAAGACCATGTGAAAGAACTAAAAAGAACATAGAAACGATTTTATTGATAGTAAATAAATAATAATAAATTATCGTTATCAATCTTGATCTTGATCCATTACTATTTTCCATTGTGGTTTGTAAATATTTTAATTGTTTTCCACAAGTTAACATTACATTGTATGAAAAATATTTATAATTTAAACGAAAAAGAAAATTCGTTTTTATTGTTATTCTAAAACGATGCCTTAAAATAATTATTTGTATTATTTTCTAATAATTTTATTATCAATTACTTTTTTTTAAATTGTTTCCAAATTTACAAAGTAAGTGCATATCAATTACCTATTCTTAATATCATGAAAGTTTATTAGGTCATCTACTAGTTATTGAATTGTAAATTAATATTTCTCTATAACATAACTAAATGTAATCGCAATATTTAAAATTTATTTATAAAATATAATAATTATTTAATACTGTGTGTTAATGCATTGTTTAATTATTGATTAATTATTGATTAGTTATTTTTATTTGGATTCATTGGCCGATAACTTAAATGAAATGTACATAAAAATATAATACATTTTTATTAAAAATAATAAAAATAAAACCTATATATTTTTAATGATTAGTTGAACTATAGATATCTTTTTTTATTTTGATCATGAATTGTTTATTTATTGCATTTTAAGTAAAAATAATAAATTCAAATTAAAATGTGTTTTTATGAAATGTCGTTATAAAAAAATAAATAAATAAATTTGAATAATAATAAATAGTAGTCAAATAGCTGTTGGCTTTAAAATGCCTCAATGTTACCTATCGGGTAAATATTAACTATCTATTCTAATAGTGTTTTTTAATAATATATTCTCAGGACGAAAAACTGAAAAGTTTAACATAATAGAATAATATGGAAAATAGTTTACTGGAAGCTATCAAGTCTGGCAATATGGGATGCCACTCTGAATTGACCATTATACCTATATCACAAAGTTCAAAATCCAACAATCAATATGCAGTTTCTTCTACTTCCCCGCAAAGTACTGTGTCATTATCCTTGGTACCAAATACAAGTGCTGTTAAATCAAAAAATAAACATGCATTACCATCAAATGCTCAAGGTGGTGCACCACGTAAACGTGGAAAGTCTAGTATGCCTCCTTTAAACCATATGACTTATGATATGAACAATTACAATCCACTTTTAGATCTGACAATGAATCGTAAACATTATCCTAGTTATAATGCTCAACCTGAACAACAATGGCCATTTAATTTGCCATTTAATTACCCTGAATTGTTAATGAATTTTGGTCAGGTAAATAAAAGAAAGTCATATGCTTATGAACAAATCAAAGAAAAGACTGTAGTAAATTACAACAAAGAAAATGCCCAAAACAAAAATAAACATTATAAACATGATCATATGCCTCCACCTTGTACCACTACAGACCGGATTTCAGGACAACTAGAAAATGTGGAAAAAACATTTGATATTGATTCTCTAAGCAGCGAAGATGGTTGGGCTAAATATAGAGAATTGTTAATGGTTATTGAAGAAATGTCTGGTTCAATTAGACCAATTTATACGGGTTGCAAAAATTCTACTGAGAGGTTGAAAAAATCAATACATAAAGCTAAAGCTTTGGTAAGTGAGTGTTTAAAAGAAGTAGAAAAAGTATCTAGACAGCTTTAAGTATCACATATTTAATAAACAAAGAACATAAATAATCAGTTATTTAAAAATATTGGCATTTGAAGACTGTCATAATTAAACTAATAATTTTCAATCACAAATAGATCAAAGCATTTTTAATACAAATATCATTTATTTTTAATGACACGATTACTGGCTAAATTAGTAAGGATTTTAATTAAACATCTCCCTTAATTGTAAACAATTTGATTATGACAAAAATATATAAATTATTATTTTTTAATATAAGTACATTTTCAATTAACTTTGGCACACAATTATTTTAGTTGTAATACTTGCTGAACTTGCATAGATTATAAAATATTTGATTTTAACTGTAAATATATATATATATATATATCAATTTAATGACTGAATGTTATAAAAAGGGTAGTATATTTCATAAACAATTTGTTTTTAACATAATAATGGTAACAAAGTGATATTGGTATTTTCTGGGACCTTTAACACTTTGAATTGCATTTTAATTCTATCAGGGTATCTGTTCAATTTTCATAATATTTATTGTTAGATTTATCGATGCGTGAGAATCAAATGTTATACTAATCATTTTTTAAGAATATTTAGGTATTACATCAATATGTTATATTTTTAAAATTATATAAACAAATATTATGCTAATTAATTATACACATTTTTGTACTATAACGGGTATTATATTAGTTACACTGTAATCATCAGGCACTGTTTTAAATTATTGATAATAGGTACACCATTTATATTAATTTATCTTTTACATTAATTGAGGGTAGGTTATTTTATTGTATTAAAAAGGTATTATTAGTTAAGTTAATTGTAATGGAATAAGCCGTAAGTTATATTATTTTAATAAATAAAAACACGATTATAAAAAAAATGTTAAATAATTATTTAGTGAAATTAAATAATGAGTTGTGTTAAATGTAAAACTATATTTTTAAAGTTGTATACAATTTATTACTTGCAATACAAATATTTTACAACATTAAAATATATTTCTTTTTGATAGATACTTTTATTTTTAACATATTTATTCAAATGATATTTTTATGAATGGTATTAATAATTTATTTAAGTAATATATATTCAACAGGGCTCACCTATGGAAAAGTAAATTTGAAATCGTTCATTTTCTTGGCAAGTCTGTAAATGAACTATTTAAATTCTACATTTTACTATTTATACCTAGGTACTAAAATGTATATCAAAAAAAGCATTTTGTTTCTTAGTGTATTGAGGAATTTATTGGTTTTACTATATGTGTTTTTTAATGTTTGCCTGTAAACAACTTTTCTACCAGAAATATTGCTCTGATCATCAACTTTAAGGGTGGTGACTGGTAGAAATATTGTCTTTGTACATTAGAAAGGGAGGTCATTTTTTTATTTTCCTTGTAGTTTTCTTACTTAATAATTGGGAATAGTGTGGAAAATTGAAGTGCAACTAGTTTCTATTATTATTGATGGTTTTTTTTTTTTTTTGTAATTCAGTTAATAACAAGAACTGTAGTAAACTAAGTAACCAATTATTTTCACCAGATATTTATATTAACTCTATCATAAAATAATAATGTATACATGTATAATTTTGAAAATATTTTAAGTCTTGAATTGTTTATAGCTAATTGAGCGCTACCTTATCGATTTACGTTCATAACTAGACTAAATAGGTTTTACAAAGGAAGCATTATATCAACTTATTAGACTTTTCGACAAAAAAGAAAAACTGTTATCAATTTATTTAGTTATGACAAATTACATATTATATTATTATGCAGGTATACATGAATATATTTTTACTATATTAAACACTACTTTAAATTGCATTTGTAGATATAGATCGCTCTTTCACCACTACTGTTCAATATTGCACTGGAGAAAGTTGTACGGAGTATACAGGGGGATAAATGAGGTATTGACAGTATACTGAAGATTGGTATTTTAGGTTTTGCTGATGATTTGAATATAGTTGGTGACGATGGAGAGAGTGTGGTACAGAGCACCATAGCTCTCATTAACAAAGCCAAAACCATGGGGCTAAATGTAAATGATAATAAAACTAAAGTGATGGAGTTATTACCAGACAACCAGGTTGACAATGTAGTGATTCAAAGGCATACATAAGTAAATTAGAAAAAGTACTCCAATTTAAATATCTGAGGGCCTCTATCAGTGATAATAATGATTTGTCCATCAAATTAAATAACCGAATCATTAAGACAGACATCATTTTCGGTAACTAAATACTTAAAATCAACTGTTTTCTAGAAAAACCAAAGTACATCTCTATACGGCGATAATTAGATCAACATTAACATATGGATGTGGGGTGTGGCCTTTAACTAGCAGAATGGAACAAGAACTTAAGTCATTCAAAAACAAAATATTGAGAACCATCTGAGGTCCAGTATACGACAACAAACTAGGATGATGGCGCAGAAGAAGGAATAAAGAGATCCGATATTTAACAGGGGTTCAAAGAATAACTAATTTTGCGAAAGCAAAAATAATAAAATGGTTTGGGCACGTGATGAGAAGGCCCAACTCAGAGATCCTTAAAGAGGAACAGGGAATCCACAAGAAAGAGACCAAGAGGACGTCCAAAGAAACGATAGATTGATGGAACAAAGCAGGATTTAGAGAACCTAGGGATACCAAATTGGGAAGAAAAAGTACAAAATAGAGAAGAGTGGAAGGAGATGTTGGTGGTAGTAAAATTTCTTGAAGAGGTAATGCCAATGAAGAAGAAGAAAATATAGCCATGATGTAACATATTTTACCAGAGAGTAAATCAATAATCAATAGTTTGTACATCAGATTCCAAAGTACCACAATTTTCCAAAGATTTCCTATAAATTATCAACAATTTTTTCACCTATTATCATTAGTCGTTAGTGATTTACCCTCTGTATTTTACTTGCATAATAGATAAATATATATATATAGTATTGTAATAGTAATCCGTTTTTTATGTTTTTTCTAATATTTATGTAATAAAAATAAATTGTAAATTGAAAAAGAACATTTACAATTAAAATCTGTAGGTTATAGGTGTAATTTTTTAATGGGCATAAATAATTTGTATCTCTTTCAATATATATATTTTGTTAACACACGTCCAAACGACCACATATGCAATTAATAGATATTAATTTTTGGAACACAAAATAAACATGTAAATTCAAAGTGAATGCAAACATGAGCATAAAAATCGTCTGTGAACACACCCGTGAAATGACATTTTTGTATTCCATTATATACATTTTTTTATAGTATGCACGAACATTGGAGGTGTGTCTTCTAGTGTTAATGGTGAGCTATTAAATTATTTGTTATTTTTATTTTCATTCGTTCACTGAAATACTACAGACAAAAAGATTTTGCCATTCTTATGCTATATTTTACAATGTAGTATATACATGATAGAAACAATTATTTTTATCCTTTATCTATGTCAGTAGTCAATACCACGGTTATAGATATTTTCGGATATTAAATCAGTTGACTTAAAAATAAATATGTATAATTTATTCATTTTTACGACATTTTGTTTTAACTTAATATAATTGTGATTTATTTAAATCTTGACGAATGTCCAATGGCTAATAACTGGGACGAAACGTATTGTATTGTAGAGAATACAATCCTAGCATACTTTGACAATATCGGGATTTTGCGGAACCAATCCCAAAATCTCAGGATTACATTTTAGATTGAAAAAAAAAATGATACATACCTATATTTTGAAAATTAATTTGTTTTTTATTATATATAGGTATATTGTGCGTTCACTCTAATAGGTACCACTAAATATTTCAGTTGGATGACCTAGGAAAATTATAGGAAATACCCAAATACATACTTTAAGACAAATTTTAAATGTTTAACCCTTTCGGTACACATGCTCAAAACAGCTTACCATTTTTAAAACGCAACACAATTTTTTTCTACAGATTTGGAAAAAGTTTTTTTAAAACAATTTTTGTATAAAAAGATTTTTCATAAAATTGGCAAGAAAAAGCAGAAATATTGAAATTAGAAGTTTCTAAAGTAATATATGACAACTTAAACCCCAAAAAAGTACCAGGCTATGATGAGGTAAGTTTAAAAATATTAAAGCTCTTCCTAAGAAAGCTATCATTCATCTTACGCACATATACAATGCTACTCTGCGCTTGTAATGTATTCCAGAACAATGAAAACGGACACAGGTGATTATGTTGCTCAAACCAAGAAAAACACCAGAAGAGATGCCACATTATATTGACCGATTACACTCCTTCCAAGTTTATCTGAACTTTAATAAAAACTTATACTTAAACATCTAAAACCAATCATAGAAGAAAAATATCTTATATCGGACCATCAGTTTGGATTTTGCAACAAATATTCAACAATCGATCAAGTACATCGTGTCTCTAACGTTATAAGTAAAGCTCTCGAAGAAAAAGATTACTGCTGTGGAGTGTTCCTTGACGTAGCCAGGCTTTTGAAAAAGTCTTGTACAAGATTTTCCTCATTAAATTGTGTGATCAACTGCCACATACCAGGTGTGCACTTTTTGAATCATATTTAACTGACCATCAATTCCGAGTTATAAATGAAGAAGCGGTAACCGAATGAAAAGATATATCAGTTGAAGTACCACAAGGTAGGCTTAGGACGTATCCTGTACCTACTGTACACAGCTGATATACTAAACAATGACAACACAACGATAGCTATGTTTGCCGATGATACGGCAATTTTGTCGACAAGTAAGAATCAATCAACTACATTTGATTACTTACAAGAATCAATTGACAATGTCTTTGCCTGGACGAGACGTTGGAAAATTAAGATAAATGCTGATAAATCAGTAAACATCAACTATACGTTACGTAAAACAGAAGAAATCCAAATTATGTTGAACCAAACATTAATCCCACAACAAGATTCAGCAAAATACCTTGGAATGCATCTAAATACCCGTTTAAACTGGAAACACCATATCCGCCATAAAAAAACAAAAATACAGATTAAAGAAAAAATACGAATTTGAACCTATGACATTCAACTGTGGAGTTGTGCCAGTAAGTCTAACATTGATATAATACAACGCTGCCAAAACATCGCTCTTCAGACTGTAGCCTACCGGTTTGAAAGAAACGGTGTCATTCACTGCGATATGATGCTACCTACAATAGCTGGCTTATAAATACGAGACAAGATAAAATCACCATGTCAATCTACTAGCCGTCCAATTATTAGACAACTCTAAAGATATTAGACGCTTTAAGCGTTTGAAACCATATAACTTAGTTTAAGAATTTAAATTAAGGGTAAGAGCTACTTCATTGGAAGTATGAATTCATCAACGTGTAAAGTATTAACATCTAGTATGTAAGATATGTCTTGTTAAACATATTTATGAGACCTTCAAGTCGTTAAAATAATAAAGCCTCTGGGCATTTGAAAAAAAAAATACGAAATTGGCAAAGTTATAGTATGTCGAAATTTAATATTTATGAATAACCTGTAATTGATGAAATTTTAACTATTTTTAACTTGTACTAAAATATGGGAATATTTCCGATATTGTGAAATACCTGTATAGTTGTATTATGCATGCGCGTACCGAAAGGGCTAAAAATTTGAAATTGGTTTAAAAATGTGTATTTGGGTCTCCCTATCATTCTCTGAAAATTCCATTTCAATACTAGGTCAACAAACTGAAATATTGTGGTACCTCTTAGTAGTGTATGAGTGTACTGTATACATAGGTATACATTTTTTTTAAATACAATTTTAATGATTAAATATTTAAATAATTTAATATTAAATATATTATTAATATATTATAATATATTATAAAATATTTATATATTTATATATTACAGACAAGAAAAAGAGCTGATACTGAAGATGGGAGCGGCCACTGTTGTAGGTGAGAAGTTGGGAAGGTAGGATACATTAGGTTATATTGTTTATATCTGTATGCAACGATAAACCATTGCTTGACGAAAGACGATCTGAGCACAGTTCGGCAATACATAATTTGAAATGCCGTAACTTTTTTTGCGAATTTCGTTAAAATTCAATTTCAAAACGTTTATTAAAAAAAAAAATTGTCTGATGATTTTTAAAATTTTGTCACATCTAGGTAAGTCCAATATAAGTATTATTGCTAAGTTTCAAGTCTACGTGTATTTATAACCAAATAACAGCAAAAAAACTCCCAAAAATTAAAATTTCTTAAAAGCTCAAAAGTGGCTTACAAGTTTTGGAGATGATAAGGAGAAAGTAAATTAAAAGACAACAAAAAAGGAGTCGTGTGATTTTTCACTTGAACTTTCAGAAAAGAGCCTACACGTAAATATCAGAGATTTTATCAGCAAGTTTACTAGGACAAAACATGTCCACAGACTAGAACAAATAAAAAAATAAAAACACATCTTTGTAAAAAGAATAGCTTCTTCGCTTCATTCGCAATCCAAAAGTAAAAAAAAAAAATGTTTTATTTAATAGAAATATTTTGAATGTATGATAGAAGGAAAGAAAATCAGACCACTTAATGTCTCGTCTACGAGTCCACTTTTTAGTTTATTTCCTATGTATGCAGCTGCTGAAAACGTACGTTTTGATTCAATAGTGGGAATAATTAGCTATTTAAATGTTAATTGATACCCACGAATTACTTTATTGTTACATAGACTCATCTCTCGGTAATAGTTTTTAAAAGACAATATTATTTTGGGGATTCAGGATTGAGAGTTCTTAAACTTTTATTCATTTCAAGCTTCAAATTTTCTTACAACATTAGTTTGATAGGTTCATTACCTTGCAATAGTTCTTTTTCTTCATTAATTTGATCATTTATCCTTTCGGTCATTTTTTTAAATTTTCACTAAAACACTCAGAAAATAACATAATATGTTTATATTTATTATATAAATTTTTTTTCCTATGTTAATACATTAAATACTCAATCCTGGGATTTTCGAGAGTAAAAAATGGTCGATATCCCGGGTTTGTATCTCTAGTTTTATCTTAATAATTGCCGCGGACGAAACGGTGGGGGAAAAAACGTCCGCGTTTCATTTTCTTAGACACAAAGTTTAAATATAATGTATATTTGTATATATATCTATAGTATAATATACAATATATATATGTTTATGGTTATAGATATAACGGTGCTCAGTAGAATTTTCACAGGTTATTGGTTGAAGATAACTGTATTTGTAAATTACAAAAATGGTTATCTATATTTGAAAGTGTTACTAACTTCATATAAGTAACCAATAAGTACTAAATTTTCCCGCCATTTACTGCTCTCTAATCTGTTGCTTCATTGTTAGTGATTCCGAAAATTTTGTCCTTAGATTTCAGTTTTTCAGCTTCTCGAGTACTACCTAAAGTGAGTTGACTTTAATAATTAATATTTTATAGCTTAGAAGAATACTGCTTGTGTTTGATTTGCTTACTGAAATATTCTGTTTTTTTTTTAAACTCAAATTTAATTTAATATTATGGAGGGCTTTGATACACCTGGGATTTTTTTCTCTGACACTTTTGGTGATGATGACAACAATTTAGCGTCTTCATTGTTAACTGCTAGAACTATAAAAAAAACATTCAAAGAATTTTTAAAAACTTACAATGAAGAAAATTTTAACTACAAGTATAGAGACACCTTGAAGCGTAACTGTAATTTGGGACAATATTGGCTAGTAATAAATATCGAGGATTTAGCTGGATTTGATGAAAATCTTGCTGATAAGTTATACAAACAACCTGTGGAACATTTACCAGCATTTGAAGATGCTGCTACAGAATTAGCACAAGAGTTAATTGCAATGGATAATTCAGAAGATATTGAGCATGTTCAAATATTATTGGCTACAGATTCATTGGCTTCTTCTTTGCGTTCTATTAAGTCTGAGTCTGTTTCTCATTTGGTCAAAATACCTGGTATTATAGTCTCAGCTTCAAGTATTCGTGCTAAAGCTACACAGATAACATTACAATGTCGATCTTGTCGTAATGTATTACCACATTTACCTGTTAAACCCGGTATGGATGGTTATATTTTACCAAGAAAATGTACAACTGAACAAGCTGGTCGTCCACAATGCCCTTTAGATCCATATTTTATTATACCAGACAAATGCAAATGTGTTGATTCTCAAATTTTAAAATTACAAGAATTGAGTGATTCTACACCTCAAGGTGAAATGCCAAGGCATGTACAATTATATTGTGATCGTTACCTATGTGAACGTGTAGTTCCAGGAAATCGTGTCATGGTGGTTGGTGTTTATTCTATTAAAAAGGTAACTTGCATTAGTTATATTACTAGTTGATCATATTATTTATTTTATAATTTATACTTATGTTAAAATACATTATTAGGTTAAAACTTCAAAGAAACAAAAACTTGCTGAAAATTCTCGTACTGTAGTTGGAGTGCGTGCTCCATATTTAAGAGTCTTAGGATTTCAAATGGATAATCAAGTTGGAGGCTTCACTACTTCAATACCTACGTCTCTTGAAGATGAAGAATTATTTAGAAAATTGGCATCATCTACTGATATTTATGAGCGTATTGCTAAGTCTATAGCACCCTCTATTTTTGGATTCAGTGATATTAAAAAAGCAATTGCTTGTCTTCTATTTGGTGGATCACGTAAAAAACTTCCAGATGGTTTAACACGTCGTGGAGATATTAATTTATTGCTTTTGGGAGATCCTGGTACAGCTAAATCACAACTTCTGAAGTTTGTTCAACAAGTCTCTCCTATTGGAGTGTACACATCTGGAAAAGGTTCTTCAGCTGCTGGTCTTACAGCTTCTATAATTCGTGATCCAGCATCTCATAATTTTGTGGTAGAAGGTGGAGCAATGGTATTGGCTGATAGTGGTGTTGTTTGTATTGATGAATTTGACAAGATGAGGGAAGGTGATAGAGTAGCGATTCACGAGGCTATGGAACAACAAACTATTTCAATTGCTAAAGCTGGTATTACAACTACTCTTAACAGTCGTTGTTCAGTAATAGCTGCAGCAAATTCAGTATTTGGTCGGTGGGATGATAGTAAAGGGGAAGATAATATTAATTTCATGCCCACAATTTTGTCTAGGTATGATATGGTGTATGATCAACATATTAGCAATTAAAAATTTATTTTAATTGTAAATATATTTTTCATTTTAGATTTGACATGATATTCATTATAAAAGATGAACATAATCAAATTCGTGATATGACACTGGCTAAGCACATTATGAATGTACATTTAATGAATGGTCAAGCCAAACAAGAAGTGGAAGGAGAATTACCATTAGCAACAATAAAAAAATTCTTAAATTACTGTCGTCAACGTTGTGGTCCTCGTTTATCTGAAAAAGCTGGTGAAACACTTAAAAGTCGTTATGTTATAATGAGAACTGGGTGCCACGAATTAGAATCTGAGAAAAAACTTGCTATTCCTATCACTGTAAGACAATTAGAAGCCATTATTCGTATAGCTGAATCTTTGGCTAAAATGCAATTACAGCCTTTTGCGACTGAAAATCATGTAGATGAGGCATTAAGATTGTTTCAAGTGTCAACTTTAAGTGCAGCCACATCAGGCTGTCTATCGGGAGTTGAAGGATTTTCAACTGAAGAAGACACAGAAACACTACAAAGAATCGAAAAACAATTAAAACGCCGATTCCCAATTGGATCTCAAGTATCTGAGTTCAGTATTATTCAAGATTTTTTGAGACAAAAATACCCACAAAGAGCCATAGATAAAGTTATATACTTAATGATCAGGAGAGGTGAAGTACAACATATTATGCAACGTAAAATGTTAATTAGACTTAAATAATTATTTAAGTATAAAAATTAAAAGTAATGTTCACACTTTTTATGCTTACCATTAAAAATTTACCTCATTTTATATTCAAATTAATAAATAAAATAAAATTTTAAACTTGTGTTATATTTTTAAACATATTAAAATTAAAAATATAAGAAAAATGAATGCATCATAAATAGAACATAAGAGTTACTGTAATTGGTTGAATATTATAAACATTGTAAAATATACGCCAGTATAGGCGAATTACACATAATGATCTAAGTATTAGTGTCTGAAACTCCACCTATGTTTACTCCAAATACATAGAATGTTCATGAAACAGCTTTGAGGAATGAAGATCGAACAAACAACAGAACTTAAAGCTGGAATCACAGGTTTAGTAGGCTATTTGGACCATAATCATCCCATGATATGAAGTATATAGAAAATTTCTTAACGGGCATACGGCTCATATGCCCGTATCATCGTCTATTCACCATAGGCAATATGCACACACACGATTATACGGTACCATTAATTTTCATATTTTTATGGTGTTTTATACCAGTGTGTTGACAGTTAAACTATTATACAATTATAATATGATTTAATTTTTTTTTTTGTATATAAATACCAGCACTATCCTATGTTAGTATGTTCATCGTTTATGTAGATGTAGTTAAAATTATAATATGATGTCATTTATTTTTTTTGTAATAATCGATTATTACATTTAACATTGTCCTTTTTTCTGTTGTTCCATATTTTTTTGGTCTTTTTTTCGATATTCGGATTTTTGCACAATAGTACCTAATTTTTTAAAAATTGTAGGTTCTCAACCTCTCCCAACCCCGCTCTAAAATTTAAGAAAATCAAAAGTTGTTGATTGTATTATTTTTGTACGTTTCTGGGTTATCTTGGGAAACATAACTACTACTACTTGTACTTATCTGATTAGAATTATTTTTTGATAACGATGATTTGCAAGGGCGTCCTGAGAAAATAATAATAATTCTAAAAAGGTAGTCAAAATTTTTTTTGGAAGCATTGCTATACTTATTCAATAATGAGTAACTATGAGTGAAATATACCAAAAGTGAAAATAATTGATACGCATTTGATTAATGGTTATAAACAATTATGATACATACAAAAATAAAAAGAGCTGATACTGATGATAGGAGCGGCCACTGTTGTAGGTGAGAAGTTGGGAAGGTAGGATACATTATGTTATTTTTTTTATATCTGTAAACAACGATAAAGCATTGATTGATAAAAGACGACCCGAGCACAGCTCGGTAATACATAATTTGAAGTGCTTTAATTTTTTTTTTACGATTTTCGTTAAAAATTGATTTTAAAACGGTTATTAGAAAAAAAAAAAAAATTGTCCGATGACTTTAAAATTTTATCACGTCTAGGTAAGTACAATATAAGTATTATTACCAAGTTTCAAGTCTATGTATATTTATAACCGATTTTCAGCAAAAAAAAAACCAAAAATAAAATTTCTTATAAACTCAAAAGTTGCTCACAAGTTTTGGAGATGATAAGAAGAAAGTAAATTAAAAGGAAACAAAAAAGGAGTCTTATGATTTTTCTATTAAATCATTTTTTTTGGTAGAACACGTGCTTGTTTTTATAAAATAATGAAATCGCAAAAATTGCATGTTTCCTTTAATTTTTTCCCACTTAAGTGCTGTTATTTAAAAAATGGAGTTGAAAATCAAAAAATAACATATTTCAAGTACAATTTAGACAACTTGAGCTTTCAGAAAAGTGTCTACACGTAAAAATCAGAGCAAGTTACTAGGACAAAACGTGTCCACAAACTATATAAAAGAAATAAACATCATAATAAAACCAATAGCTCCGTCGCTACACTCAGAACCTACAATGAGATTTAAAGTACTCCTATAGTAAATATATATGTTATCATAAAAGTTCATCAAATATCAAAACAATGTTTAATGTATAACTGGTTAAGTTTTAAAAGTTCATTTGGAATTATTTATGTAATCAAGTTTAAATTTTAATATATTTTTTTTTTACTTTAATAAATGATCTTGATGTAAAAAGCTGAGCAACGTATAAAAATGTAAAGATAATTTACCTATTGTTATTGTAGAACCTTAATTATTATTTTCATTGTATTGACAAAAATATCATTAAATAAATGTGTTGCACTCTAACATTTCAATTGAGGAATATAATTTTATTTTTTCTATTATTTATAGATGTCTGCGAAACCTAGTGTGGATCTTTATGTGTCATACGATACTATTTATCCAGCAGATACTGTGGAATGGTGTCCAATATCAGAATACAAGGATGTATTTGTGTGTGGAACTTATAAGCTGGATGAAACAAATAAATTGAAAACTGGCACTATTAATTTATTTATTCTAGAGCATAAAAATAAAATAAAACTGATTCAGAGTATTCATGGAGATGCTGTATTGGATTTAAAGTGGAATTTTTGTATTGTTTCAGGGAAAATATTACTAGCAGCTGCATTATCTGGTAAACACATTAGTGTATATAGTTTGGGTAAGTATTTAACAAATAATAATCAGCATATGTGATGTACTAAAATAGATTATTTATATATTTTTTTAGATAAAGAAGAAAATGATTTATGTTTAAATATGTACACTAGTTTTAACCTTCCTAAAACTGATGATGAATCTCATATGAGTTTATCAATTGCTTGGTCAAGTCCTGATGAAAACGGAACACAAAGTATTGCATTTAGCGATTCTCGTGGATATATTACTGTAGTTAATTTAAATGATTGTCTCGTTCGCAATTTCAAAGCTCACAATTTTGAATCATGGATAGTTACATTTCATTATGGAGAACCAAACATATTATACACAGGTAAATTATTACCAATTTAACTTATATTTATATAATGCAGTTTTTGATTTATTATCTGTTGAGAAAAACGTAAATGTAAATATCATTTTTTTTTTAACAATATAAAAAATAAACATCACTTTTATTTCCAAATTAAATTTATAATTCAAAATCATTTATTGCACTAGCCATATTCATACAATGTTTATAGGTGGTGATGACTGTAAATTTAAATGTTATGACCAACGTTTAAAATTTGATAAACCTGTATTTGAAAATAAAGAACACAAACAAGGAGTAACTACCTGCTCATCTAGTAAAATTAGAAAAAATATAATTGCTACTGGAAGGTAATTTGTCAAAGTTCTGCAAACAATTTGTAATATATATAGAATTTATTTAATTTGTTTAGCTATGATGAAATTGTTAGACTGTGGGATGTACGTAATATGAAGCAAAGTTATAATAATGTCAATGTAAATGGTGGAGTTTGGAGACTGAAATGGGAACCTATAAACGAAGATTATATATTAAGTGCTTCAATGTTTAATGCTGCACATATAATAGACACATCATTAAATATTTGTCATTCATTTGGTGAAAAAAATAACAGGCTGTTTTATGGAGCTGATTGGTGTCATTTAAATGAGAATAAAAAAATAATTTCTACATGTTCATTTTATGACCACAAATTAGATTTATTTGTTGTAAATATGAAATTATAAAAATAAATTACGAATAAAGTTATAGATAAATATAATTACATAAATTGTTATTATAATAATAATAAAAAAAATAAGATATATAAATTCTATAAATATATATATATTATATATAATTATACCTTATATTTATACATCAAACGTATTTACTAATATTAGAAATAAAAAACTTTAATGTGGTGAGGGATGATAACAAAATAGTTATCACAACACTTATAATTTTACTATAAAAATTCATCACACCATGCTTTTAAACAAGCATGACAATCTTTAGATTGTTTTGAGTTAGATTTTACTGTGTCTTTCAACCAATCACAGAATAAATCTTGATCCATTTGTAAAAGTAAAAACTGACCTAACACATTGTATGCCTAAAACAAAATATACCATTATATTTATTTTATAATTATTCTATCTTGTTACGTACTTACTAATAATCAAATAAAAAAAATATATATCAAAGCAGTGAGGAATGTTCAGTCATAGGTTGACCCAACCCAGTATGATATCAACTCAATTATCTAATCATACTATAATTATATTTGTTTTGTTTGGGTAAAATACTACAATTTATAGCACAATGTTTTAAAGAAAACTAAAATTTTAATGAGCTTTGTTCAGAATTTATTTTTTAACAAATTAATTATTATTATATTATGTTTTAATTAGATAACTTATCATAATATACAATTGGCTCTTGATATAAATTTTAAATTATAAGAAAAAAAATGAAGTTGAAAAAGCAACTTCAAGTATTTTTTTTTTTTCATACAAATGCTTTATTTGAACCATTTTTTCATGAATTTGAATTTATTTTTCCAATTCAAAAATTAGTTAAAATACAGGTTAAATTAAATTTATTAATAATTTAATAGGTATAACTACTAGTGTTCGAGCACTAAAACAAGTGGAAAAATAAAAAAATGAATAACCATGATTATCATGAGAGATGTCCATTTATAAAAAATACAAACATAAGCTATAATGCACTTACAGAATTTTGATGATTAAAAAATTCCAAGACCATAAAAATCTAAATTTAATTTGAATAAATCAGTGTTTCTCAATATCTCTATATTGAGTGTTTTTAACTAATATTTCTATATAGAAGATTACATAAAATGTATGAATTACTGACCTATCACAAAATATGATATATATTTTAATTCTTTATGGATGACCTTGAATTTTATTTGAGATTACCTATTCAATAAAATATTAATATAATTATATTCAATAACAATAATATAGTACAACTGCTGAATACTTAATACAAAATTATTGAATTATAATACTGATAATTACTTTCGTTTTTAGAAAGAATTCATATTAACTCACTTTAGTGAATCCTTGTTCTCTTAATCGACCTGCTAAAACTGGTCCAATACCAGCAAGATCTTCAACTGGTTTATCTCGCATAGGCTCACCAGCAAATTCCCGATGTTTTTGACTAGTTGTAGACATATTTTATACTATTTCTTAATCTGTTGGAACTATAATATTAAATTATTAATGAATTGTTAAGAAAACGTAATCATGAGTATTTAAAACGTATAATGGAGTCTGAAATAAACATTTAAAAATATTAATATTAACTATAATTCATGACTGTTGATTGTCGATAAAAGAAATTCAAACTTTGGTTAGGTTAAAGTATTATTAACAGTTGTTGAGTTGTAATGAAGTCGTATTTCACAATTTGCACTGTTGAGGTTATTAAATTCATATACCTAATAAAAAACATTTTTTTCAAAGTTTAAAATAGTTTTTAAAGCATTTTTAATCTTTTTTTTAAATTTAAGTGCATTGAATTGTATTTTTTTTAAAGCACTTTTCTTGTTTTTTTGAGCATTTAAATCCACACCCTAGTTATTATTATACAATCAAATATACATTTTCTACCAATAATTGAAACTCCAAAACCCAAACTATTGTATTAAATCAATTTAAATACTTACGTTTTTTTTTAATGGAATATACCTCACAGGATATAAGATATATAAACGAAATTTTAAATACTAAATGGTTAATGACAGGACCAGGAGGTAAAAATGTGTCATTGATATATAAAACAATTCAAATCTTAACTATGCGTTTATCAGTTATTTATCGTTTTCAATTTTATTTTGCTGTCCTAATCCCAAAGAGATTATAAGTATTTTATTCTTTGTTTTTTTTTTAAAAATATATATTTTAAATGTCCTTGAACAATTTAAACCACCCTAACCTACAAATTCCGAGACGAGATTTGCTACATTCAAAAATTATTTTCGAGATTTTTAAATTGGTTATAGTTTTCATAGTAAACTTACATTAATTTACCGATTTCATAATTGTTTGGTAAGTTGAATTAGTTTTTTAATAAATGCAATCTGTTATTTATTTTTATATGTTTCTAAAAATAAAGTTATTTACTAAAAATATGGGTCGTATACCTATGGTTAACATGGACAGTTTTTAAAATAATTTTTGACGTCAAACATATGTATTTATTGTTCCAGATTATGCGCATGTAACATTTTCTGTGATTATTGCGCTACTTCATATTTGGAACACCTAATAAAATAATGAAAGACAAAGAGAAACCGCCTATTTTAAATGTTCAACCCCGTAAAATAGAAACGGTTGGACCATGGATTTTGAGTTATTTATCTGGTTCAAGTGTTGAAGATAAATGTTTAACCAATGGTGATGAAGTAGAAGATATAAATGAATCATTTATTGACGAAGAAACTGTAGCAGATACAATTTATCTGAAAACACTAGACCCTAAAGAGTGGAAGGATCAAGATCATTATCAGTAAGTATACAATTTAAATATTAAACATAAATCTATTGTCAGAATCATTTAAATCATTAAATAATAATTTTTTTATTTTTTATTTTTTTTTTAAGTTCTATATAAATTCTTTACCTAATAATACATGTATTACCTGATTCTAATGCATGGTACAAACAAAAAATCTAAGATAATTTTCAGTATCTTAAATTTAAAAAAAAAAAAAACTTCACTGAAATAAATTTATGTAGGTATACATATTTCCATTTATCTATCATTAATCTAATTTCATTAAATTGGCAAATTTAGCGTTTCATGAATGGTTTAAATCTTAAATGTCTGGTTTTAAGTTATTTATTAAATATTTAATGTAATATGTTGAACGTACTTACTATATTATATTATCAGTTTTAGAAGATATTGTGGATTATTGTGAAATGAACTTATTTTAATTTTCGTCTACTTTTGAGTTATTTTCCTAAAATCTATAATTATCTTAATTACTTATATTATTATCTATCCATCTCTACTTCAGTCTTCCTAGATGTTTCTGCTCCTATAGTGGGTTACCTACATTAATTTTTGTTGATTTTGATTATTTGATCTTATTGAATAACCATGTCAGCTTCATTTTTAATATCAGATTTCAGCCATTATATTTCATTTTGCAATTAATTAATCTTTTTATTAGAAGTTTAATATCAAATTAGGTATCATAGATGCTAAAATATATTTAAAGATAAAAAATAAATCACAAATAAGTGTATAATAATAAGTGCTATTGAGTTTGATTAATACAGTAAAAGAAATCTTAATGATTTACAGAATTCCCAGTAGATAGCAAGATATTTACAAGTGTACACGACATAGTTTTAAAGAATAATGTTTTATATAAAATAATTCTTTATTACAATTGTTATATTTATTTACTATTAGAATAATGTTGTTTAGAAGGGAGGTTTCGTCTATTTGTAGTTGAAAGAAAAAATTCTATACAATTATTTTTTCCGATCTTTTAATGGTATTAAATTTAAAAAATCAAAAATGGCATCATATTCAGAGTGAGGAGGTCTATAAAAATTGCTTTTAAAACAGATAGAACGTAGCATAATTTTTTGAATGTTTTCTATTTGTTCACTATGGCCGATGTTATATGTTTCCCATATGATTGGGATATATTCCAATATAGGGTGAATAATTGACGTGTAAAGACATTTTAATGAAAGATCATCTTTTTATTGCTAATATTTGGAGATTAATTAAAAGTTTTGACTCAACGATTACTCAAAGGTCATTAACTTGGGTAAAAAGAAATACATTTTGATTAAAAAACTTGTACTCATTGGAAATAAAATTATTTTTTTTAGAAAAAGTGGTGCATTGACATTTATTAATATTAAGGGACATACCATTTGAGATGCACCAATTTTCGAAAACTAGTTAATTCTTGTTGAAGTAGTTCAGCATCTGTTATATTCCTTATACATTTGATAATTTTAGTATCATCAGCGAATAGAAAAATATTAGAATGTTTAATTGAAAAAATAATATTGTTAATGAATAAATTTAATAATAATGGGAAAAGGTGGTCTCCTTGTGGGACATCGGATATAACTGAAATTGGATAAAAAATAAAATTTTTCCAAATTGGAATCTTTTCATTAAGAATGAATTTAGCTATGATAATAGAGGGTCGGCAAAACCTATTTTCTTAAATTTTTGTATTAAAAGATTATGATCAATTTTATCAAAAACTTTTTCAAAGTCTGTATATATGACATCCATCTGTTAATTATTAGAAAAAGAGTTAAGAATGAATTGTTTAATAGATATTAGGTTGGTGATTGTTATTTCAGAAACTGTTGCTGCGGAATAAGTACATTTTTTAAAAAAAGGTTGTTGTTTAGCATTAATGATTTTTGAGAACAATTTTGGGAGGATAGAGTTCAAGGATATAGAGCAATAATTAGAAATTAATGATTTATCTCCTTTTATTGAAAATTGAATTGATAAATGTAGATTTTCAAATAAATGAGAACTAACTATTATTTAAAGAGGCATTAAAAAGAAATGTGTGATAGAAGGAGGAAGGACAAATCTACAAACATGCAAAAAAATAGGTGAGAGTCCATTGTGGCCAATTCCAGTTTTCATTTTTAAGTTTTCTAATTCTTCAAAAACATCAATGAGTTTAATTTCACAATTGCGTTAATAGAGTCTAAGAATACAATCATTGGAGAATTATCTGAAGTAAAGGGAATATTTTCTTTTTTTATAAGTAGATGCAAATTTTTTTTTTTAGCATTTAATGTTAAAATTTTGATTAAAGAATAGCATTATTTTACATAGTATTTTCTGATGTATGTAAATAAAATTATTTTCACACAATGAAATATCCAATCTAAAATGTTTTTATATTTAACCAAATTTGGTCATAATGATACCAGCTATTTCAATATATAAAAAATATATTTTTGTTAGCAATAATTATTTGTTGTGTACAGATATAAATTAGATAAAATATTCTAATCGCCTTAAATGTTTAGGTTATTTTAATCTATTGGAATTTAATTGAGGATTTTTAAATTTTTTAGTTGTACAAAAAAAAACCTAAATAAAAATATGTTTTTAGGAGAAACTGTTCTATGTTATATTTAATAAAATAAAATAAAGTGTGTGATATACAGTCAAATTTATGGCTCACAGTATGCATATATTTAAAGTTTTATAAAAAGGGGGGCAAATGAATTTCAAATGGGACCTAAAAGTTTGATTAAATTCTATTTGGGTGTTAAAATTGAAATTGTTAATATTATTTTATAGTTTTATCTAGTATTTATAATATTTAGTTCAACATGAATTTTTAACTCTAAACACATATAGTAAAAACAAAAAAAAAGTTAATATTTGTTCCAACTAAGCCTGTTTTTTTTTTTAAGAGGACCGTGTACCCACGTATATTTTTTCACTCCAACTAATGGGCGATATAGCAAAATCAACCTTACACAGTTTTCGCAGAACTCGCTTAAATTTTGTTCTAAAGTAAAAACTTCTATTATAAAATTAAAAGAGGATAATATTCCGTAGGACAAGAGAATATGTTTTTCCTATTATTTTAATTATTATACCCTAGTTATAATGTTTAATACATTATCTAAGAATAAAACCCAATTTATTGTTTTTAAATTACTATAACATATTAAAAAATTGATTTAACATAAGAAACGCATCGTCTTGCACTCCGGAATAATTTTCCTCTTTTAATTTCATAATGAGTGTTTTTACTCTAAAACCAAAACTAAGCGAGTTCTACGTAAACTGCGTAAGGTAGATTTTGCTATATCACCCATTAGTTGGACTGAGACAACATATCCGGGTATAGCATCCTCTTAAGTAATTTCAATCATATTTAAAACTATTACCTATATATTGACCATATTTTATTTAATTACAGGGTGTTAGGTTTATCAAAACTGCGGTATAATGCAACTGAAGCACAAATCAAAATTGCTTATAGACGTAGAGTTCTAAATCATCATCCCGATAAAAGAAAAAAACTTGGTGAGAAAGTTCAAGGCGATGATGATTATTTTACATGCATAACCAAAGCTTGGGAAACTCTTGGAAATAAGGCAAAAAGACGTGCATATGATTCAATTGATCCTAAATTTGATAACAGCATTCCTTCTAAGGAAACAGCCAAAAAATCTAATTTCTTTGAATTATTTGGCCCAATATTTGTTCGTAATTCTAAATGGTCAGAACAAAGATCAGTACCACTTTTAGGTGATTTAAACAGTAGCCGTGATCATGTTGATCGCTTTTATAATTTTTGGTATGGCTTCAATTCTTGGAGAGAATTTTCTTATCTCGATGAAGAAGACCGTGAACAAGCTTCTGACCGTGATGAGCGTAGATGGATCGAAAAACAAAATCGTGCAAATCGTGCTAAGCTAAAAAAAGAAGAAAGTACTCGTATTCGACAGTTAGTTGACTTAGCCTATGCTAATGATCCAAGACTTTTGAAATTTAAAAAAGAGGATCAAGAACGAAAAGCTGCTCTTAAACAGGCAAAAAAAGATGCAATAAGACAAAAACAGGAAGAAGAAATTAGACTGAGAGAAGAAGAAGAAGCAAGAATACAAAAAGAAAAAGATGAACTTGAAGCTGCAGAGAAAGCCCAGCGAAATGCACAAAGAAATGCAAAAGATGGTCAAAAGAAAGCATTAAAAAGAGAGCGTAAACAAATTAGAGAAATATTAAAAATAAACAATTACTACATAGAAAACGGAGATAATGTTATTGAAATAATGTGTGGTGTTGAAAAAATTTGTGATCAACTTTCTGCTATACAACTTAAAGAATTAGTCAGTGCCCTTCAAACTGAAGGCCGTAAAGCATTGATAGATAAACTTAAGCAAATGGAATGCAGAGTTGAGATGCATAATAATGTCATAAAAAATGATACTAAAATTGCTGAAAAAAATAATAATGATTGGGAAACCGATGATGTCCAGTTATTGATTAAAGCTGTAAATTTGTTTCCAGCAGGTACAAATCAACGTTGGGAAGCTGTTGCAAATTTTATCAACCAACACAGTAAAAACAGTGAACGAAATGCCAAACAAGTATTAGCAAAAGCTAAATCTCTTCAAAGTACTAACTTTACTGACAATGCCTTAAAATCTGAAATGAATGCAAATGCATATGATCAATTTGAAAAGGAAAAAAAATGTGAAGCACAAGTACCTGAAGTTGTTTCTGAACGTCCAGTTGGATGGTCTGCAGATGAGCAAAAACTTTTAGAACAAGCTCTTAAGACATATCCAGCTGCTGTTAAAGATCGTTGGGATAAAATAGCAGAATGTGTTCCGACTAGAACGAAAAAGGAGTGTATGAAAAGATATAAAGAAATTGTTGATCTAGTTAAAGCTAAAAGAGCTGCTCAAGTGTAACATTTTATAATATATTTGAACATGTATTAACAGAACTTAATATGGTTTTTGTTTAAAATTTTGTTTTGTTAATATTTCTGAACAAAATTTAATGTTTTGACTCAATATTAGTTTTAATTTTAATTAATATTAATCATTTTAAAACAAAGCAAACAATTTGTAAATGTATTCATTTTTTTTTATAATGCAAACCAATTTGTTGAACTAAAGGAAACCACAACACAATTTGTTAGCTTCTTTTAACCAGAAAGAAAGATGACAGACAACCAAATGTAACTTATTCAATATTAAAAAATGTATATACATATATGTATATATATGAACTATAATATTATTTTTTTAAAACCTATTTTGATGTTTACAACCAATTAAGTTGGGTTGATTATTAATACAATCTGTGGACTAGGAGATTTGTCAATAAAACAATTATCCGTTAAAATGATTTGAATTAATTTGTTTATTTATTATAAATTTTGAAATACATGATTTAGAAAAATTATTTTAAGACATAATGTTACTAAACTTAATATAAAAAATAATCTTAAATTAGTAAAAACACGGTATTCAATAACCCTAAATACAGCGAATTGTAGTTCGTCCTGTAACCATAATTTTTCCCTGATCTTGAACTTCTTTTAGAGCATCATCAAACATATCTCTAGTAATCTGAAACTGAAAAGCTAATTTTGTTTCGCTTAATAATTTTTGATAATTTAATATAGTAGACTTTGGTTGGCTTGATACCACCTTTATTAAATGTTCTGCAAGATCATGTCTTCTTTGTCTTGCAGCTGAACTTAATCCTGTAGTCAATATTCCAACATCAATTTTTCCAGATAATGGGTCAGTAGCACTCTGTTTTAATGCTTCTCTGTATAATCTCCAAGCTTCATCTACATCTTTCATTTCTACAACATTTGAGTATCTCATTTTGGCATGGGCTTCAGATAACCTGATCAAAGATTCCAATTGCCTTGGATAGGCAGACACTTGTCCTCTGCCACTCCCTACAGTTCTCATGTTAACATAATATTGAATAAGTTTTTGTCTACTTTCTTCATTTAAAATAGGAAGAAATGTTTCTTGGCCATAAGCTATATAATCTTGTAAAAGAGTAGTATCCATTTGTTCATCACGTTCATAATTTTCACTTTTGTAATACAATGATACCAAGTGGTTGGCTAATTTTTTATCATACTGTTCATTTTGAGGATCCAACATCAAAAATATTAAGTCGAATCTAGATAATAATGTATGTGGAAGTTGTATATTTTCTATAATAGTCTTGTTTTTATTCCATTGTGATTCACAAGGGTTAGCAGCTGCTAAAATTGATGTTCTAGCATTTAATTGACAAATAATACCGGCTTTGGCAATACTTAAAGTTTGTTGTTCCATAACTTCATGCAAAACACTTCTGGCCGACTCGCTCATTTTATCAAATTCATCAATACAACAAACTCCATTGTCAGCTAGAACTAAAGCTCCAGCCTGTAAAACCAATTGTCTAGTTTCTGGATCTTTGGTTACATAAGCTGTCATACCAACAGCCGACGAACCTTTACCACTGGTGTATTGACTTTTAGGTACTATGTCATAAACGTATGATAAAAATTGTGATTTACTAGTACCTGGATCACCACATAATAAAATATTAATGTCAGACCGCAAATGATTTTTCGATTTAGAAGTTTTCCGGGTACCACCAAAAAGCTGCATTAATATACCTTTCTTTATATCACAATTTTCATAGATAGAAGGTGCTAATGTATTTGCCAATCTATCATAGATATCTTCTGTTTTAGATAATTGACGTAAAATTTCAATACGTTCTTCAGGTAATTCATTTTTTGTTTTTACAGCGAATGATACATGGCTATCATTACATTTCCTAAAGTGTAAAACATCAATATGGGTCTTGTAGACACTGCGAAAATTTCTCATTCTTGGATTTACTTGCATAGGCACTGCTCGGTAAATACCAGTAACAGATACTCGATCACCGGCTTGCACAGTTTCAATTAGTTCATTGTAAGAATATAAATTTACAGTATGTGGAGTTTGACCAGCTGGCATTTCATCAGGAGATTCTTGAAGTTTAGTCAATTGTTTATCAGTAAAATGAGATTTATTGTGTATTAACTCAAAACAATGATTAGTATTACAATGAGGGCATAATGTAGGCTCAGCAATATTACCACGATCAATTTCTACAATAGTTGTATAAGAACATACAATACAACGGAAAAATGCATCACGCATTTCAGGTATAATGTCACTACATCGGATTACCATTCCTGAAATGGTAATTAGCTGATCCATGTCTTCAGGATTAAGAAAACGCATATTTGTAGTTTTTTGTACATTAAAAGGTCGCACTTGAAGAGCTTTAGTAACATGTGTCAAATCAGCTGCTGGGTATTTAGTGAAAAATACTTCATTGACAACTGTATCAAACACTGGTATAACTTCTTGAGGGTAACAAATTAGCTGTTCATAAAGTTCATGATCAAATTTAAATAATTGGGCACAGTCAACATCAACATACGGGATTTCCATTTCCAAAACATTGCTTAATTTGGTCATATAATGAGGTGATTCAGATTCATTAACACAAAATGTTTCTATAAAATTTTGGAATCTAGTTCGACATTTATCAACTACAACATCTGTTCCCCAAATAACTAAATTAGGAGCAACATCCTGATTCTCAGAATCAGGAAGTGGTACACCATTTTCATAATTTGTAGTATCAACTTGTCTTTGTCGACGATTAACTGATAAATTAGTTCTTTGAACTGAACTACCACTGCGCATAGTAAAACCTGTAGCACGAGAATCTACAGAGCTTAGAGGAGAGCCATAATTAATTGGAGAACTAAGGTCAACTTCACTAGAACGCAAACCTTGTAATGGACTTGTCATAAAACGGCGAGCAGGTGAAGATGTTTCAGAGGTTATTCCTCCTGTCCGGCGACTAGAATTTGAAACTGGTGTCTGACTATTAGGTGTCCGACCATTATTTCTAGGCGTCATGTTACTTCTTGAAGGAGTCCTTCTAGGTGTAGTTACATTAACTTGAGAAGGGGTTTGATCTCTTCTTGGTGTCATGGTTCTAGTTTGAGAAGGAGTTGGACCTCTGCTTGGTGTAATGGAACCATTTCGGGTAGGAGTTTGACTTCCTCTTGGTGTAGTAGAACCATTTCTTTGTGGGGTACGACCGGACATAACTATAATAAATAAATATATTTAAAGCAAATAAATCAAGTTTATTTTTATGTTTATTCTACTACAATTAAGTAAAAATAATTGAATTTACTTGATTTAACTAACAACGATAACTCTGGATAATTAAATGTCAACAGAAACTAAACAACATCAAAGAATACAACACTAAAAGTAAATATAATCGCAAAACAATTATAACAAAACATCTACAATATTGGCGGCAAAATAATAAAAAATCTTAAGTGAATATAAAATGTATAGGTTATGAATCAGGGAGGTTATTTACTATACTACAAATTATATTTTTATTGTACATAAATTAAACTGTTTTAGAGAATGCATGAAGGTTGGTTCATGCTCCATAGTGGTAACAACCTTGTTCCTGTTAACCACATTATCTATAGTATTTACCATCAGCATAAATAATATATACATGTGTATACTCTTAGACTCATAGACATTTTAATGTATTTAAATATATTTATATGTCTGGGCCCCATAGACCTATAAACATATTATCAGGTCTAAGCTATACTCCATCAAGAAATTCGTTGGTACAAACCGGTGTGAATTTGAAACATTTTTTGGAGTAACCTATTTTAAAATTAATCTAACCGATTTAATTTGTCTGCATCATCACGTGTAAATGGTGCAAACTACACCAGTTTCATTGCCTCTCATTTCCCCCTCGAAATAATAAACGAAAAGGTAAAGGATAATAATTTTAATTTATTTGTTAACCATTTTAATAATTTTGTTTTTACTTTATTTAACAATTAATATCTATTCAAATTAATTTTTATTAATTACTTATTAACGGGAAATAGGAAATATAATATAGGTAATACACAATTATTTAAATAATTGATTAATATTTAATTGTTAGTATTATCATTGTTCATTTTGGACTATGGTGGGGATACACCGATTTCTATCGTCGAATATCTATACTAGTGTAAAATAATTGATATCAAGTGTTAGTAAAACGGTACAAAATGTATTGGCACATCGGTTTGTACCAACAAATTTTTAGTATATATTTAATGACAAATAATGAGGGATGTGGACGTCCCAGGCTACAGACACAAAAAGAGGAAAGCGGAAATCGGGAAGAATAGAGAGTTGTAACAAACCAGCCCCACGGCTGCTAACTAAAAAAAAAAAAAATTTAATGAATAATAATCGAAGAGCATATATGTTACTAAAGTGGTTACATTTAGTTAAGGTGTGGTATCACCACAGGTGATAACGAAAATATCGAAAACGTTATTTACTGGCTGCCTGGCGGTCATCGAAATAACAAATTTGGAAAAGAATATTATTTAGAGGCGGATTAACAGGTAATAACAATAGTAAAAAAATTAGCACAAATCAGATTGACAAAAACGAGGATAAAAATGTGGCTTATCATAAATCAGTATCTGTAACCGCACATAACCTTAATGGTATACAATAGACTCTTCGCTCACAGAATACCGTGTCTAAACCTTGTTATCCATGTATATATTATCTATGGTAAATCAGTACTCATTATTGTCCAACACTTATCTTTGGTCACGTGCTTACAATTTTCAAATTATTCTATACGGAGTTTTTAGTTTTAAATAGATTTGTTTTATACAAAATATAACTAGTTTTTTTTTATTAAAATGACTTTAAACGAAGATCATGGTTAGTAAGAACATGTTTTTTTTTTTATACAACTATTTGAACATAAAATTACTATTTTCAATTTTAGAAATTTCAAGTTCGAATTCAGATGAAGAACAGGACTATCCATCACATACTGACGATGACGAAAATGAAGATATAGATAAAGATGATATTGAACCACTAGTGTTTGATGACTCTAAAGAAATATATTATACAAATAAATACAAACAAATTTTTGAGGAAGTTGTCAGTTTGGATGATGTTTATATTTTGAATTTGGATGCACAGAAATTGTAATGTCGTTTTGGTTAATTTTTTTTTTTAATTAATTTTTAAAGTTTTAGAATTGAAATTTCATTGTGTAATTTTCATATTTTTTTTAGTGGTCAATCAGTTAGAGTGGCAATTGCTCTTTCCAATTTTACTTGTAAGATATATGACTTTGATGATGGAAATAAGTCTGTTGGAGATTGCTTGGAACATAAAAACAAAATTGCTGATGTCAAGTAATATTACAATCGCTATTTTCGTAATCAAAATAAATACGTATACTAATTTATTTATATTTTTAGATTTGGTTCGGGTAATAATCAGTTATCCTCAATTGTATATACAGCATCTGAAGATGGCACTATTAAACTTTGGGACTTGCGTTTAAAAGAAAAATGTGTTTCAGTTTTTAAAGGTAAAAACTAAAGAACTAAGAACTATTCTTGTTAAACTTTTATACGATTTTTTGGTTTATTTTTTTTAAAGTGCATTTTTGTGTGTACATAAAGAATGTAAAAAAAAGTCTAACAAACTTCGTTTGGAAATTATGTGGGTGAACTTCATGAGGTTCAATTTTACTGATTCCAGTTTTTCTTAGTTAGAATTTAACATTTTCAATTTTTTTTTTCAAAATGTGTTTTTAAATGCCTTATTCATTAGTATAATCAAAACTTACCCATCATACTTTTATAGTTTTTGTACATTAATCTTGAACAATGTTTGGAATTAATCCAAAGTGTGGTCAAAAATAGACATTTTTTTTTTACTTATATTATTTGTAGTTATTGATATTTTGATAACAAAGTTTATTTTATTGATTTCAGAATAATTATCTGGCTTAGTTAGCAAAATATCAATAACTACAAATGATATTAATAAAAAAAAAGTCTATTTATGACCATATTTTGTGTTGATTCCATAAATGCTATTTTTCAAGATTAATGTACAAAAACTAAAAAAGTAAGTATGACAGAAAATTTTAGAAAAAAAAAATTTTGAAAATTATAAATTCAAAGGAAATCAAGATATACGCTTAACAAAAAACTCGAACTTTATGAAGTTTTCCCCTATAATTTCCTAATAAAGTCTGTCCTTTTTTTACATTCTGAATGAACACACAAACACATATTTTATAAAAAAAATTGCGTAGAAGCTAAACTATTATGCCAAAATTAGAATTATACATGTAGCTATGTAAGTTATTATGTTCAGGTGTATTCCAAGTTTGCTATTTTATCTTCTTAAAGTTGGCACCGAGACTGATTGTTTAACTATATATTGGTGGTAAGTTTTTAAGTGTAAAGTTTTGTATTATGGTTGTTATTATACAACTTTATATGAACTTATATTTGATATAAAACTTTTGTTTCTTCCTGTATCATATTAATTTCTATTACAAATTGTACAATATTTGTTGAGAGATGATGTCAAATATATTATTTATATAATTTATTATTCTGACATTGTATTAAAAGAAATTAAAATTAATTAAATCAATTTTTGCTCTGTAGACTGACAAATGAATGAAAAATGTAGGATTATCTAATGAACTAGGAATATTCTAAAGTGTATAATTATTGTATTATGTGTATTCATTTTAGATGATTCCGATGCTTGTCTTAAACCATTATCATGTTTTGATATATCTTGTGATGGAAGATTTTTAGTTGCTGGTACAGATGTATTAAAAGATGATGCATTCTTATTATTTTGGGATGTTCGTTCTACTAATCTACTTGGTGGTTACTGGGATTCTCACCAAAATGATATTACCCAGGTGTATATTTTATATATGTTTATTATTTAAATGGACAATTTTAGTTTTATTTTTAATTCAAGATTAAAATAATTATGTTATTAGGTTAAATTTCATCCCACTGAAGATAAAACTGTAATTAGTGGATCTGTTGATGGTATTATTAATTTATTTGATGTTACTCAAACCACTGAAAATGAAGCTCTTCAATTAAGTTTAAATACAAATTCATCAATAGTAAGTTACAGATATTAATAATATTACTTTTTTTATGAAACATACAAATATATAACAATTTTTCTTTTTTACCAAATATTTTCTGACTTTGCTTCTAAGAAAACTTGTTTTAGGTTGGGTGAGGTCTTAAAAAAAATAAAAATAAATAAATTATAAATAGTATTATAATAATATATTGTATACAGAATGTTGAGCAAATTTGTATATCTATTTAAAATGTACAAATAATATTAAAATATCTACTTTGTTAATAATTAAATAATCTGTAAAAAATAATTATGTAGTATTACTTAAATACATGTTAAAAAAAAGCAGTGCATCTAAAAAAAATATTAAAATTATATTATATTATTTTCCCTATGGAAGATGTCTAACTTTTTTAAAATTTGAAAAATAGTGTTGTATCTAGTTGACAATCTATGAAAACTATCAAACAATAAGAGGAATTCTAAACATGATTTTGACATATTGTCCCAATTTGAATATGATAGGAGATGCCATGGTCTGCAGATGATTTATCTTTGATAAGATAAAATCTGGATTAAGTTAACAGAGAAATGAAGAGAAATAGAGAGTAGTCAAAAAAAAAAGGACTATGGATAAGCAGAAGTAAAACTGAGTATGCTTTTGGAGGAACAGGATAAGATAGTTGACAATAATAAGCAGTTATAGGTGAGATTGAGAATTTAACTATTTAGAATCTTGTATATAAAAGAACAATAGCTTTTATGAGTATGAAACAGGATTAAGTGCAATTAGATAAAGTGAAGAGGAGCATTAGGTGTTTTAAACAAGAGAATTCCAATTAGACTTAAATTTAAGTTCTACAAAATTATGATGAGACTATGTTGTATAGTTCGTAGTATTGAGCAGTAGATAGAATTCAGAGAATACGTGTCATAGAGATGAGAAAGCTTAGGTGGTTGATTAGAGTGATGAGAGTGAGATATAGGATAAGGTATGAGTAAATGTTAGTTAGGTGTGGCTGTGATAGTAGAAAAAATGAGAAAAAATAGGCTGAAATGGTTTAGACATGTCACAGGGAGAGAGGAAACTAAACCAGAAATTCTAAATTTTATAAGTAGATAATTAGTAAAATAAATTTTAGTGTTGACATTTTTAATATCCATCAATCCATTGACAAGATTTTCTACTTTTAATTTTAGGTTGAAGAAGAATAGTGGAGTATCATTTGTGTGGTGGTTAGGTGCGCCACATGTTAATAATGTACCACTACTCTCCTTAAACCCAAACTTAAAAGTGGAATGTCTCGTTAATGGCTTGACAGAAATCAAAAATGTCAACACTTACATTTTTTTTTAACTAATACTCTATTTATGGGCTTTTTAATACAGGTTACCATTTAAAATCAAAAGAAGAAAGTGGTTTTACCCCCAATAAAAACATAAATATAAAATTGTAGAGTAGCTTGTTTCTTAAATGTTCTATAAAACAAATTCTGGAAAAGTTAATACTTTCCGAGATAATGAGTGTACTTAAATTCACTTAAATAGATCACGAGGTATCATCTGCAAAGCATCATCATACCCCTTTTCAAATCTGGGATGGGATAATCTGCTAAATTCTTATTAAGAATTCTTCATACTGTTTGACAGAATTTTACATTGATTATCAATCTGACACAACCATATTTCTCTCTTCTTACAATAGGTAGAGATATAACGGTAGTATTCTAATCCTTTCCTACAGGGAACATGTTGAACATATTATAAATACCTAATAATTTTATCAATTATAATTTATTATAATGTAATATAAAGGTTTATCGCCCATTTATTTATCAAATGTTTGAACGATATTCATCTATTTTTATAATTTTTCAACAGCAAGCAATTAATTTACAAAAATAAAAATGATTTAATATCAGTATTTATGTTCTAAAATATTTCTAACAATTAAATAGATTTTTTTTTTTTTTTGCTACTAGATGGTAAAATAAATTCGCGGCTAGGAATTATATCTTAAAAAAAAAAAAAAATCAAAAATTCTACTGGCCACAGTAGTGCCCTTAGTCCTAAATCCGGCCCAGGATTTAACCTTCTATAGCTTTTCACCAAATCAGAGGGTTAAACACTCAATTTAGTTTATTTTGAATAGTCTATTATTTTAAAAAAACTTTCACCAAATTGCACCATTATTCTAGGATTAAAATGTACAAATTTAATAACAAAAAAATGTAATTTCTTTGAGGTTACAGAATTATGGTAGAAAAATATATTATTCTAAAGAATAAAAAAATGAGGACTAAATGAGATTTTATAAGATGTACATATATTAGTTTTATATTATAATATAATATTATGTTTTTCAAGTCAAATTTAAAATGGTTAAAAAGTAAAAATGGGGATTCAGTTATATCATGTATTACGAATACAGAAGATGTACAACTATGGTACACAACAGATTCTTCACCATACATCACTATATCTAGGGATACAATTAGTAATTCAATGAATGTAAGTTTATTTTATTAATTTTATTTTAATAATTTTTCAGTGAATTAAAACTAAGTTATGTTATTTGTTAATTTTAGTTAAAACCTGATGTACATAGTCAGGTGATCAATTGTCATCAAACAGATCAAAATGGAAATTGTATGTTACTTGTTGGAAACAATCATGGCAAAGGGTAAACATATATATATTTTTATTAATACAAATTTTGTATTTTGTTTTATTAAATACATTTTTGTATTTTACATTTAGAGAACATTTGCAATCTCTTAACATAAATGGTCATGAATTAACTCCTAGAACATTATTCAAAAATAATAAACAAATAATACGATGCAGTTGGTATGATTATAATGTAAGTTAAAAAACTCTTTAAGTTTAAAATAATATTTTATGATAAATTATTTAACAAGTAACAAGACTTACTTGATTATTTTTTATTAATTTTGTTGTATTTTTTTTCACTAAAAAAACAAAAACAATATGTTAAAAGTATAAGGTATAAAAGGACAACCAATCATAATTATGTAAAATCAATTAGCATTATAAATTATTTTTTAAAATAATGTGCAGTGGTTTTACTCGTACAATATATATTCTATTGTTCTTATATTTATAACTAAATATGATTGATAAGCTAATTATGCATATTTTCATTATAGAGTGGGGTTATGATTACTGGTGGCGAAGCTGGTATATTAAGTATATGGGACCCAAGTGATGAAATTGATGTTAATAACGAAAAATGTTCATTAAAATCTTTGCCAAAAGTAAGCTTGAAAAAATCTACTACTAAACCATATTAAGTTAAATTTATGTTTAAGTTAAGATTTGAATATACAGATTTAAAAAAAACTGAGTTACTTTATACAATTTTTTTGAAAGGTTATAATTTCCTATTACCTTGTTATTATATTATAATTCTTAACTCCCATATTAAAAAACAGTACAATAATACTCATTAAGACAGAAGTGTTTTTAGGTATTCAAAATTTTATTATTTCTTTTGATTCTCAATTGTGTCTCACGGCTTTAAACTCTTTCCCTTTTATATCCGCTATCACGTACTTCAAATTCATTTGATCCTCCCTCCCTATACAATATTGGGTACATGATCCATTTGTTTTTGGGTTCCTAGCTATCTAGATATCCTAAGTAATGAAATTGCAGACCATCTTGCTATGTCATGTTTTTACTTTATCTTTTCTCCAATTAAAATCCCTTACCTATTCAGACTTTCTCCCAGTTCTTTGAACACAAGCCTCTATGTGGTGGTATCGTAAATGGGTAAATTTACCCGGTTTTTGCTGCCCCTTTTCGCTTTATCTGCCCTTCTATCATACCCTTTCCCTGGTTCCACAAAATAATCCTTTCCCGAAGATATCGAGCTTAATCGCCTCCCTGCATACTCTACTATTTATCCTTTAATGATTCTCCTTTTTGTACTCTCCATAATGGCCTCTTTATCTGCAATTCAGAGCATTAAATGGGAGCATCTTCTCTTAAACTGTACTACCCTTGCCAATAAACGTCTTCTTTCAACTTTATATGCTTCTAATAATATTCCTTTTACTCTTTCCCATATTTTTCAATCTTCTGTTTTGCAAAATAAAGTTCTAGAACACATGGAAACCCATTTCTGATAGTTAACATTAAGAAGGTATTATATATTTTTGTTTGGACTTTATTATTTTTATT